AATTTTCTCTGCCATAGGAAAATTTCTCTGGATGAATTTGACAGGTATTACAAACCCACTGCCTATAGTATATATCAACAAACACGATGCACACTTTAACTAATATTGAAAAATTTCTCTGGTTGAATTTGATTGATATTATTATATACACTGTCTAAAAAATACATTTCACAAAACAAAATACACAAAGTAATTATCAAATGTATTATTCAATCAATAAAATGTATAATCCTCAACTGTTTAACAAAGGTTTCTTGCATGTCCTCTTATTATGGTGACCAATACTCTTACAACGACTACACTTAATCACCCTTTTAAACTCTCCAGTAGAAGCAATTTTGTTCTTCTTCGGCCTCCCAGCTGGTCTCTTGCTCAATGGAGGTAAAATCATAGCATCTTCGATGCTACACAGAGGTTTTTCAACAGTTGGAACTGGGCCAATCGAAAACGAGTATGCTTGACGATACATATCAGCATGAAAAAATGGTTCAACAAATGAATTTAAATTCTTTCCACTCCTAAAAATTGCAGCAACAACATGTTGACATGGATACCCATTTATTTCCCATTTTCGACATGAATAAGTTCTCAACCCAAGATCAACCATAATCGAAGGAAAACAATGCACTTCAAAGACATTATCAAATGATAAACTCACATTCCATGTCCTCCTATCCAAAAAAGACTTCTTCAATACACTATCCATACGAGGACATAGAACTTTATTCCATTTACTAGAAAGCAGCCTCCTATCAGACCTCATATTCATGATTTGCAACCGTATCATGTCCACCAAATTTGTTATTGGCAAGTGCCGAGCTTCTCGTATCCATGAATTGAATGACTCAGCAACATTTGAATACATCTCACCATAATGTTTCCCCGCAAAATATGCATCACTCCAATTTTTATATGGTGAACTTCTCAAAAAAACACTCACAATGTCTCTTCGTTCACTTTTTAATTCATTTAACTTGAAATGAAATGATGCCTTTGTTGGAGCATATGCACATTCTAAAAATTTGGACACAATTGTCTCCCTAACCAAATTTGTGTTTCTATATGACAACTTATCCCTCAAATTTCTCTTTAGATGTTCAAGACAAAATCCATGAAAGCAGTTAGGGAAAAACCTAGCAATTCCCTCCACGATACCACAATGTCGATCTGATATGAAACTTATCACCCTTTCTGATCCCAATACTCCACATAAATGTTCAAGAAACCAACACCAATTGTCTGTATTCTCAGCATCAACAACAGCAAAAGCTACAAGGAAAAAACCTACAAAACAAATAAGAACAAGCATATTAGATATACACATGTAGAGAAAATAGAACAATAAACAACCAGAGAAATTTGACACTGCCAACATCCAGAGAAAATTCACTTAGTGCCCAACTCCGGAGAAAATTCACACATTGGCAATATCCAGAGAAAGTTGACTTAGTGACCAACTACAGAGAAAATTCACACAATCATAATATCCAGAGAGAATTCACTTAGTGACCACCTACAGATACAATTCACACAATGACAACATCCAGAGAAAATACACACACTGACCAAAATCCAGTGAAAATTCTCACAGTGGCCACAACCATAGAAAATCCACACAGTGGCCACAACCATAGAAAATCCAAAGTGTCAGAGAAAAATCACATTCACTCAATTCTTACATGTATAGAAAATTCACATGTTTAGATAAAATTATATATATTTACAATTACCTTCATTTCCATCTTTTCCCGTTGCAGTAAGCATAATTCCTTTGTATCGTCCTTTCAAAAATGTTCCATCAAGAAAAAGCAATGACCGACAATATTTGAAACCATCAATGCATGCATGAAAAACCACAAACACTCTTTTGAAACGCTTGTTATCTTCAAAATCTAACTCAAAACGACTACCTGGATTGTTCTTCAATGCTTATCAAAATATCACCGTAATTGATCAAATGACAAACAAAAATCCCCATATGTACTACATTTTGCTTTTTCAACACCCAACCAACCATAGTTATAACTGTTTGAGACCCCATATTTATCTTTCATTTATTTGATAACATCTACTGGATGAGTTAAAGGTTTTGCACTTACCTTTTCAAGTATCAGCCCAGAAACGAAGCTGGAAGTCATCCTAGCATGTTTACTCGTATGAACCGCCACACCACACGTATGTTCATTGTTCAAAGTCCTTATGTAGAAGAACCCATTTGTTTTTTCAACTGAAGCATGTATACGCTACATACATCCCCTTAATTCCTTATATGCACATTCTGCCGTAACCCTCAGTTTGTCATTTTTAACATACGTAAATTGAAAACTAACCTCAATGGCATACTTGCATAAAAAAGTACGAAACTCAACCACACAACCCTCAAACTTTTTTCCAACACTCATAATATTATTTCGCCAACCAGTTGACAATAACACCTTTTCTTGGTGAGAACAAAACTTAGAGAGTGAATTCATTTCAATAGCCACCAGCCTATCACACTCACCATCCACAACATCTACCCAATTAGACCCCACTTCATCCTCTTCATCAGAAGTACTACATCTATTAACTGAAACATCAACTATATCAACACCGCCTGCACAAACAACCCTCAACATATTCAGAAAATCAATATTATTTCGAACCATACAATTCGGATGGCCCACAATAGAATATGAAATACACATAGTCTCAGGTTTCAAATTCTCCCATGTTTTACACAAAATGCCAACCAATTCCTCAAAATTCAATTCCCATGAAACATTAATGACAATAGTAAATTCCATTCGCATGAAATATTAATTACAATAGTATCATTCCCATATTTGTACAGCAACAACACTGTACTGTCTATCTAAACTGAAAGAAAAAACAAGAAAAATAATTTGTTTAACATAAAAACACTTCACAAGAACAACATAAAAGTCCAGAAAAATTTCTAAAAATTATAATTTTCTCTGGACTTAAAATAAAAGTCCAAAGACATCTACAAACTTTTATTCACCTTCAATCTGACAAAAAATAAAATCACAGAAACTTAATGAATCCAGAGAGAATCACAGAGAAATTTACTGCTAACTATTAAATACAATCATAGAAAAAAATCACACAGAATATCTGTTATGAAATTATAGGCTTCTCTGTGATTTTCACCTCACTACAAGCTAACAATTTTCTATGCGTCATTCTGCAATATTACACTCATAGAAAAATTCAGAGAAATTTACAAACTAATATACACCTTCAAGATAACAAAAAACACTACATTGTCCATCTAAACTGAAAGAAAAAACACAAAAAATAACTTTTGCTTAAAGAAACAAAAACTTATATTCATCTTCTACAAACATATAATTTTCTCTGAAGTACAAACTAAAAGTGAGTAACAAACTTATAATTTTCTCTGAACTACAAATAAAAGTCCAGAGAAATTTATGAACTTACATTCACTTTCTCAGATTCTATCTGCATTAAAAACTTCTAATAATATGCCCATATGCACTTATAATTTTCTCTGTGATTTTCGTTGGATTATAATAACAAACTTACAATTTTCTCTCGACTATACTAACAAAAGTGCAGAAAATGAAATTTCTCTGGTTTGAAAAAACATAGAACAAAACTTATCATTGATCAGTATGTTGATAAAAAAACAGAGCACGAAAAATGAACTCTAAACATTAAAATCAACTACACTGTCAACATTCTTTGAAATTGATCGAAAAACAAAGAATGAAAAATTAATTCCAAAAATAAAAACAACTCTATCAAACTGGCCTCTCTCGAACAAAAATTCAAAACAAAAATCAAAATCCATGTGGAATCTAAATCGAAAACAAACCTGATTCAACTCCACTCAAAAACCTATGCGATCAACACACTGTTAACACTCTTTGAAATTGTTCAAAAAACAGAGAATCAAAAATTAATTCTAAAAATAAAAATCAACTCTATCAAGCTGGCCTCTCTCTAAACAAAAATTCAAAACAAAAATCAAAATGCATGTGGAATCTCCATCGAAAACAAACCTGATTTAACTCCACTGAAAATCTACGCGATCAACACACTGTAACACCACTGAAATCTCTGACGGAATCTACACGATCGTAGCAATCTTTCTCGTCAACTTCACTGAAATCTCCGACGAAATCTCCACCTTGAAGTCAACAATATAATATTCAAACAAATTTCTTGTCAACTCCACTGTAATCTCCGAAAAAATCTCCACTGAGAATTCGATTTCCAAAATCTCACCGTAAAGTCAACAATATAATATTCAAACAAATTTATGTTATAACAAAAGGGTAATTTAGGTACTTTATAACCTAAAATAAATTTGAGGGACCTTAGCCATCAAAACATATTATTTTGGACCTCTCCTCCTATCGAAAGTAGAGGAGGTACCTTAGGCCAATGTTCCCTTTGAATTATGTGCTTGGTTACGATATGAGAATGAAATTGTATTTTGAGTTTAAAATTAAAAAAATTAAAATATTTACAAAACAAAATAAGATATTTAAAATAAAAAATTTATATATATAAAATAAAAATAAAAAATTTCTTAAACATTTTTCTTTTATTTTAAAAAAATAAATCAAAAAATACTGTTTCAAATGCTTTTTGTTTCTTCCAAATATGTCCTCTAATCCGAAAATATTTTTTAATATTTTAAAAGGAAGGGTAATCAAGTCATTTACTATAAAAAAAGTAATCCCGTTAGTTTCAATTTGTCAGAAGGGGGGAATCTGGAGAATGTCAGGTAAAGTAGGAGAGATTACTGTAATTATTGAAACTACAGGGCAAGTCGCTGTATTTGTCAGAAACCTTAGAGGAGATCAGTGCAATTACCCTAAATAATTTTTTTTTGAGAAAATGACAAAATTACCCCTCACGTTGAAGAAGACATAAAGAAGAGGCGGGAGTCCGAAAATTTCAAATCCAAAAATCTACAAAAATTTACTTACTTCCCGCCCAAAACTGCTCATCTCTTTTGACCATTAACCTTTGTCTGGCATTCTAAGCCCCCAACAAAATTCTTCACTCTCTTCAGATCCAAATCTCCTTCTCCTCCAACCCCATATTTAACCTATATATACCAAAAAATTATATATATATATATAGATGTCCGCGTCGTCAGTTCGCCGGATGAAAGAACGCAGCGTCAGAGGAGGGAAGGTCACGGCTGCGAAACCTTCCAAAACGCCAACCCCAGTCTCTGAAAAATTCACCGGTGGAGAGACCTTCAAGAAGTCCACCGGAAAGGAAAACCCTAGACCCACTTCCAGGGGCCGAGCTTCGGTGGCAACGATGCCTCAGAAACCGGCGATTCGGCCAATGCCTCGGATTGAGAAGCCATCGACAGCGGATCGAGAACCTCGTCAATCGGTTCCAAAAGGTAGGAGCTCTAGTCCGTTTGAATTCAATCGAATGTTGTCTGATATGCGTAAGGGTCGGGGTTCTAGGGTTTCGGAGGATCGGTGTGAGAAGGGTTCGGGAGGTGAAATTGAGATGTCTGTTTCGAGTGGTGGGAGAATTGCGAGTGGAAGTAGAATTTATGACAAGTGTCAGCAAAAGATGGGTACTTTGAGGGAATTGAATGCGAAATCAAGTGAGCGAAGTGAGAATGATACTAGGGTTTTGAAGGATAAGGAAATTTCAGTGAATAATGAGGTGGGTACGGTGCAAAGTAGTGAAATTTATAAGAAACGTGAATCGAATCCTGAAGAAAGTGAAGAATCTAGGCTTATGGTTTTAGATGAATGTAAAGGTGTGATTAGTTTAAGCTCAATTTCGTCAAAATCATGCTTCGATAGTTGTGATTCCGAGTCTAATTTAGATGTTTTGAATGATTTTAGAGTTCATGAAGAATCGAAGGGAAGGTCTTGTGTTGACCCAAAATTGGTTGTAGTTGAGAAGATTATGAATTATGTTGATTTGGGTGTGAAAGAAACGGGGCGAAAAACTCTGAATTGTTCAAGAGGTTCAGAGAGCTTGAAGCAGAATGGTTTAATTGATGAAGGTACAGGTCGTAGTGTCAACAAATACCCAAGCAAACTTCATGAGAAGATTGCCTTTTTGGAAGGGAGGGTTAAGAGGATTGCGTCCGACATTAAGAGGACAAAAGAGATGTTGGATATGAATAACCCAGATACGTCAAAAGTGATGCTTTCGGACATTCAGGAAAAGATTTCAGGGATTGAGAAGGCAATGGGACATGTTAATGGTGCTGGTGAGAATATGGGTGCACCCAATTCTACTGTAAATGGTGATATAGAGAGTAAAACTTTGGATAGGAGTCAAAACAAGGAAGTGAATCATGTGAAAAATTCTGTTAAAGGCTTGAATACTGAACAGCTGGAGGCTAGACTTTTTCCTCATCATAAGTTGCTTAGAGACCGGACATCATTGAAATTGTCATCAGGAAGCTCTCAAAATAATCAGGACAGCCTTGTAGAATCCAACTGCAAATTAAAACCTGAAGAGAATCCGCTGAGCACAGTTGATGAGAACCTCATTGCATTGGAGTTCTTGGCCTCCCTTAATAAGGATCAACTTAAGGTCACAAAGAGGGGTGAAAATGTCAGTTCGGAGATATCTGAAGTTCAAGAATTTGATGATTCTGTGCCTTTGACATCTCAAGACTCTTTAAACGTGGTCAACAGAAAAGGGGATCTTGAGCTCATTCTAACGACAAATGAAACACTTGATGAGTTTGATGATCAGGAGTATACACCGGCAATGATAATTGAAGAGGATATTGAAGATGCTTGGATTAATCAGTTAAATGATATTGGCCGTAAGACCTCAACAGGGGGATGGTTTGTATCAGAGGGAGAAGCTGTTCTTCTTGCTCATGATGATGGTTCTTGTTCCTACTATGATATTGCAAATTGCGAGGTAGGCAACCTAGTCTCATCTAAACTTGATTTTGGCTATTGTAATTTGCAGATTGCTTTTATTTCTGTCAATGTACTTTTCTAGCAATTAAAGAAGAAAATGTATATATATAAATAACTTCTCAGATGATGTCCATATGAAGTATGCATGTAAGACTTAAGATTTTTGGTTAAGTAAGAGTCTCAGAATTTGCTTCAAAATGTTTATTGAGTTTTATTGATATCTTGTTTTGATGCTTTTTGGCCATGTACCTTTTAATTTGTTCCACTTGCCTAATTTGGTGCATATCTTTCAATGCCTAAATGAAGGACAACAATCAAGTACAGTGTCTTGAAAAAATAGTTTTGTGTACTCATGGTATGCCATGATTTCAGGAGAAAGCTGAATACAAACCCCCTGTTGGAGTCTCACCCAATGTATGGAGAGATTGCTGGCTAATTCGCGCCCCTGGTGCAGATGGTTGTTCAGGAAGATATGTCGTGGCTGCATCTGCTGGAAATACATTAGATTCAGGATTTTGCTCATGGGATTTCTATGCTAAAGATGTGCGAGCTTTCCACATTGAAAATGGGAGTACAACTACAAGAACAGCACTTGGCCCCCTATCCAACAACACTCTATATAGAAGAAATACTCTATCTTGTACGATGGCTCCAGAAAATCAACAATGGTGGTATAAACCTTGTGGACCACTTATCGTCTCAACAGCCAGCTGTCAGAGGGCTGTTAGAATCTATGATATTCGTGATGGAGAGTTGATCATGAACTGGGAGGTGCAGAAGCCTGTGGTAGCAATGGATTACTCAAGTCCTTTGCAATGGAGAAACAGAGGAAAAGTGGTTGTAGCAGAGTCAGAAATTATTTCTCTATGGGATGTGAGTTCTCTCAATCCTCAAGCACTACTCTCTGTTTCTTCATCTGGCCGAAAAGTGTGTGCGCTTCATGTGAATAACACGGATGCTGAAGTCGGTGGGGGAGTAAGGCAAAGGTGAAACGGAAACTTGTTACTTTTGTTTGTTGTCATGTTGTTTAATATTATTCTCTGCTTGCTGCTTCATTTGTCTGTTTCATTTTCCATAGCATAGCTTCTTGAAGTTCTTTCTCAAATAGGAGTCAATTAAGGATCTTTTCTACATGATCATTAAAAACTCATGTGGGACTTGAAACAATTTTATATGATGTTTGTCTTGTCATTTTTCACTTTTGATTATTGCTCCGCTTGCTTTCCTCAATTTTTTTTTTTTTTTTTTTTTTTTGTTTTTTTGTTTTTTTTGTTTTTGTTTTTTTTCACAAATACTAGTATCCATTGATAACAACTAGTACTCAATACTTAATTTCTATACTATTTGACAATATGTACTTTTAGAAAGCTCAGTCAATGGTCTCTTACCAGTCCTCAACTTTTTTTGTTTTTGGAAATACAGAACAAGTTCATCTGAAGCAGAAGGAAATGATGGTTTGTTCTGCACCACTGATTCCATCAATATATTAGATTTCCGCCACCCATCCGGTGTAGGTCTCAAGATATCCAAACTTGGCGTCAACGTGCAGTCTGTTTTCTCTCGTGGGGATTCCATTTTCATTGGCTGTACTAACGCAAGGCCAGCAGGAACAAAGCAGCCGTGTTCCCAGGTGCAACAGTTCTCATTGCGCAAACAGAGTCTTTTCAGTGCTTACTCTTTGCCAGAATCGAATACCCATGCCCATCACACAGCCATAACACAAGTTTGGGGAAATTCAAATATTGTCATGGGAGTTTGTGGGCTGGGACTGTTTGTTTTTGATGCTTTGAAGGATGACGGATTGCAGTCTTTTGCCACTGATTACAGTAGCATACAGAAGGTTGCAGAAATAATTGGACCGGATGATTTGTATTCCCCTTCTTTTGATTACATGGCATCCCGAGTTCTCCTCATATCAAGAGATCGCCCGGCTCTGTGGAGGTACTTGTCATAATTATGATGCATGCTTGAAGACTTAATTAGCATATTTTGTCCAAAATAGAAAACTATGAGCATGATAAATGCTGTTGTGTATGTTTTGTTATATATAGCATGGTGTGTGAAACATTAAAAAAAATTTGCAATTTATTCTAGTAGAGTTCTTTTTTATTTAAAAAAGAAGGTTGGATGTTCATTATATTTACTGTTACATTTTGAGGGTGTGAAAAATTGGCAGGTGTGAGTTACCTGAAATGGAAATCGGCTGAAGAATGGTTAATTCTCCCTTGATGATACTGGATTTTCATTTGAACCTGAGACATTTAATCCCTAATTGATATTATTCTCTCTGATTAGGAAATAAGCAGTGGTGTTTTCATAGATTTGATACTTAGATGGAACCTGACATATATAGTGGGTGTTTGGGAAGTGAGTTTTTATGTAGTTTTTTTAGTTGTAGGATATTATTGGAGAAATTTTTTTTTGTGTTTGGGAAGGTAGTTGGCTTTTTTTGTGGTTGGATGTGATGTTTGTGAGAGAAAAAGTGAAATGATTATGGGGTTAGATGTGATATTTTGTTTGGATGTGTTTTTTTTGGTTTTGCAAAAAATTTGTCTTTTTGTGAAAAAAATAAAACAAGACCCAAGTCCCAAACTTCCCAAACACCATAATAACAAATACTCATCTTCGTTGTCTATTACTAAGCATGTAAATTTGTTTAGAGGTCCAGTGGTTCGGCTTGAACCCGGCTTTGGGCTAGGCTAGTCTAAGCTTGGACCCTTTCAGTAGGGCCCAAGACTTGAGGGCTTTGAAGGCCCATCTGGGGCTGACCCAATTATTATTATTTTTTTTGGAAAATTTTGTAAAGGAGAAAAGCTATAAGGCCTAACAAAAGATAGGCTTGAGCTTGGGTTATGCCCAAAGCTAGGCCATAGCCCAGTCTCAAGCCTATCTTTATGGTTGATTCTGTTCTAAACTTATACACTAATGTATTTTCCAGCCATTCAATGTTATGTTTCTTTTTCTCTTTTTTTTTCACATTTGGACATTTGTTTTTTTGCATTTGGACATTTATTTAATACGATAAAAAATCAGTGGAAGCAAAATGTTAGCATTTGTACATGTTAATTGTGTATAGTTGAGGTGGATCAAAGTGTTGGTTTGCATGATTGCACAACTTTATTGGCAGGTATATTATATATTTGAATTTCTCATAATTAGTTAAATAAATATGATTTTGCTAATGAGTACCCCTCATGTACTTTTGTGTGTGTTTGTGGAATCCCCTCATGTACTTAGATCTCAACCCAAATTTGCTTTATCAAACTCTGAATCTTAGCATTAGCTTGGTCTGAGAAGACAATTTTGGTAAGCCTTATTTGGAGTTGGTTTGGAAGGAATTTGCAGGGTGAACGAAATATATTTGTTAATTGATGGGGGTTTGTTGTAAATAACCCTGTAGTTTAATCAACATGAACTGTGGAAAATGATCATTTTTTTTTTTCCAATTTATGGAAGGAATATTTTTCAAATCTATTTGGAATCCTTCAAGATATGTATCCTTATCTGTAAAAGATACACTTTATTTTTGGCAAAAATAAGTAGCATGGGACTTTGTTCTATTTACTTGTTTGTGAATTGTAAGCAATGATTTTTGACCACACAATTAAATAGAAAACTTAACTGAAGAGGACGAGGTAGAACAGATTAAGCTAATTACCTGAGATATGACACGGTGTCGGATAAGATCAGTGGCATCCAAATTGTGACTATAATGTGGCGGCAGATCCATGAGCCTGGTTGTGAGTGGCGTGAGTGTGAACATGAAGAGTGCTGCCGTGATCTCTACCTCCATCCTCAACGTTGACAGCAGTACTTCTGGCCTTGGCATTACCATCATCATCGGCCTTTCCCTTAAAATATGACGTCGCAAACGTATCAATCATCAGAGTTATGATCGTTGCACTTTCGTCACATGACTTGTGTGCTGTTGATTTTATCTGACACTGTGTCATATTTTAGGTAATTGGCTTAATCTATTCTGTCGCGTGCTCTTCAGTTAAGTTTTCTATTTGATTGCGTGGTAAGAAATCAACACTCATATGAATTAAAACTTTTGTTGAAAAAAATTGATGTTATGAAAAATGTGGAAACTGTTGTGAATTTTTTCACTAGACTTGAAACACTTCCACAGTTACACTGTTCACATGCTCATAATAAAAGTAAAAGAAATATGGGCGCGATTTTGCTGCTGTTGGTTCCGGTCAATAACGTGTATCCCTTATAATTCACCACATGTACAAGTAATCGGCAATGACAGAAAGTTCTAAGTATAGAGTTCTAAATGGGGCTCTATGTCGTTGGCAATGGGAAAAAAAAAGAAAAAAAGATAGTGATACATAATTTTAAAGTAGTAACTTTAATAAGAGTTGTAATATGGTGGAAGAGAGAGATGCATAGAGAGGAGTGTAGGCCTAATTTGATATGGGGGCCTAAACTCATAATTTCATCTTCATCTTCAGAGAGAAAAGAGACAGAAAAATAAATAAATAAATTTCAAAACAGAGTCATTTTGGAATTGGAACCATTTGGAGCAAGCCTTATTCAAGCTATGTAGCAGAACTGTACCAAAAAAGTGTGAATTTATCTAGAGATACAGAAGAATCTTGGCCGTTCTAACGAGTTAATATCCTCTCTAGTGTGTGTCTCTAGTGCTCCTTCTGGGGGACGGTGCAAATTGGATCACTTCAGCTCACTTAAAAATCTGCAGCTCAGATTGTTTCAAGTCTAAAAAAAACAATCAAATTTGTTTCCTAAATAGAGTTCTCTCCTCACGAATTCAAACTCCAAGTTGGAAGAGGGAAAGTAGCGAAGGAAGACGAAAGTAACAGAGAAGAGGGAGACGACAACCACTACCACGTACATCGGTGATGGCGGAGGCGGCTATACCCAAATCCTTGAGACTTGAATACGAAATTGTAAGTTCTCTAATTCGTCTCTCTCTCTCTTACTTTGTCTCTCACACACACACATTACTCCAAGTCTTGAAGGAGAAGAGAGTGAGAATGACGTGCTGAGGGAGAGATTGAGAAAGGCCACTTTGCGAGAGTGGATTTTGGGAGGGAAGGTGTTGATGGGAAGATATGGGAGGGAAAATTGAACGGTAAAATGAGTGAGAGCACTAATTAATTAGTGCTACCATTAATGATGTGGCAGTGGATCTCACCATGAATAATTTGATATTTTAATCTTTGGTATTATATTTTTTTTCTTTTTTTATTGAGTGTCATGTCATTAGTGATCTTTTTAGAGTTCTAAAATTAATGATCTGTATCATTGTTGAATTGAACGACGTTGTTTTGGAAATAAATATAATTTTTTTTTTTTTTGGAGACCTAAAGTAATTGGAGCCACAAATTTTTAAGTAAGGTGAAGTGGGTCAATCTGAACCGTCCCCCAAGAGAGCACTGGAGATACTCACAGGAGGATCTGAAGTCCATTCTAATGAGCAAGGATCTTCTAGAAATTTTTTTGTTTAAAATTTTTTAGAGTGGTGTGTTGTATGGTTAAGATTGAATGACAAGTCATATCAATTTTTTAGCATTAAATTTCACCCATACAATACACCACTTTAAAAAAAAAATTTAAAAAAAAATTCTAGAGGATCCTTGGTACATTCTAACGGCCTCAGTTCTAATTTTCTTGTTTAATTATTTTGATTTTGCATGTATGCCACGTGGCACTTTGACAGGTTACAAATCTTCACAGGTTGCATATTAATTTGGGTAATGCTAGAGATATCAAATTTTTTACCAAATAAATGACCAAATGTCTCACATGAGTGTGGGGTCTGCAATTTTGTGAACCCTATACCCATGTGAGACATTTAATCATTTATTTAGTAAAAAATTTGATACCTCTAACATTTTCCTTTTAATTTTCCCAACCATCTGAACCTAAACTTCATTTGGCTTCATGGAGGAAGAGGAAGTGTGTCAGGTTTGACTTTGAGGGTGCTGAATGCTAGTTTGTTTAGGGCTGTTTTAATAAGTAGGTTAAACAGGTAATTTTTTGATTTTTTTTTAAAAAAAATATCTAAAAAAATAAAAAGGTAATGTGACACAAAATAAATTAAAAGTCAAAAAATAACTTTTTATCTACTTGCCCAAACAAGTCTTGGTTTTCTTTTAAAACTCCACATTGTAATCTAATTGATATTTGATTTTTTTTTTTTCTTTTTGTGACACTAATGCTGTGATGTTTCCAGTGAGATTTTTTTTTTCTTGTTAAAAAAAAAAAAACCTTCATTTGATGGGGCGTAGTTTTGCTACTATTGTGCAGGGTGCCATCGTTTCCTATCGATACGTGTCACCTCTTATAATGTATAAAACAACCATCTCACCATCCCAATCCTTAAGTAGTGCTTTGAAAAGTTAGTAAAAAGTCGATTTTTTGATTTTATTAGTCTATTTTGTCTTTTTATGAGTAAAAAATATGAAAGATGATGTGACTCAAAATGAGTAAAAAGTTAAAAGTTGACTTTTTATTTAGTTGCCAAAGCATCCCTAATTTGCGTACAAAGTCAAAACACAACAAAATAAAAAGATGTATTTGACTATCACCGTACTCATCGCTCCGAAATAAGCTACATCGTAAATAATGATCAAACTTCAAAGGAGTTAGATGGACGACTTGAAAATTGAATTTAAACCCAATCGGAAGAAACAACAACTCAAACTTTGATTTCTTCAACAAAATCCCCAATTCTGCTGCGTAGCTCGAATAAGACTCGTCCCGAATGGCTTGAATTCCAAAACGATGTCGTTTTGGAAATTTTTTTTTTTTTTCTCTTTTCTCTTTGAAGATGAAGAAGATGAAGAGAGCAAAAAGAGAGAAGAAGGAGCTGGGGAACCAAGAGAGAGAGATAGCATCAACATCAACAACAATACATCATCATCAACACTAACAACAATCACACACAAAAAAAAATAATAAAATTGTATACAGATCTATGTTGTATCTATTCTTCCTCTGGTTAGATTTGTGCTGTGCTTTTTCTTCTTCTTCTTTTTTATACACACATAGATCTATACACACAGAAAGAGAGAGAGGTACACAGATCTATCTGTGTATACACATAGATGATGGCGGCATCGGTGATGGGTGATTCCCTCTCCCTCTTCTCTTTTTCTCTCTTCTCCTACCTTTGTTTTAGAGATATAAGAGAACCAAAAAAAAAATAAAAATAAAAAAATAACTGCCCAAACGACTTCATTTTGGACAGTCCAATCATTCGGGCCAAGGCATTTTGAGCTTCCAAGTATTATTCTTTTTGGTAATAAGCAATTTTGTTTTGGCTCTTTTTTTTGTTTTTTTGGGGTGCTTGGACTCTATTTAATGGTTTGAACAAACAGTTTTGCTGTTGGTGATTTGACGAGTGCTATAAAAAAAAATGTGGAAGCAGACATTTAAATGTTGATTTCTCTATGATTCTATCAGAAATGTCCCGTCATTTTCATAAGAAACCATTTACAAAGCAGCAATGTTACATATCACTAAATTCTTACCACTAACACCATCACTAATGATGTGAAAAGCCAAAAAAAAAACAAAAAAAACAAAAAAAAACAAAACAAAACTAAGACACAAAATACATGTGATAGTATCATTAGAACAACCACTAATTAGTAATCCACATCATTTTTTATTTAATGGTTTGAACAAACAGTTTTGCTGTTGGTGATTTGACGAGTGTTATAAAAAAAAATGTGGAAGCAGACATTTAAATGTTGATTTCTCTATGATTCTATCAGAAATGTCCCGTCATTTTCATAAGAAACCATTTACAAAGCAGCAATGTTACATATCACTAAATTCTTACCACTAACACCATCACTAATGATGTGGAAAGCAAAAAAAAAAACAAAAAAAACAAAAAAAAACAAAACAAAACTAAGACACAAAATACATGTGATAGTATCATTAGAACAACCACTAATTAGCCTCCGTTTGGGAAGTGGGTTGGCTTTTTGACTTTTTGATTTTTTTGGCTATTTTAACCTGGGCTAAAAAATTTGGTTTGGGAAGAGCTTTTTGACTTTTTGGCTTTTTTGATTTTTTTTATGAGAGAATAGTGTAATGATTATGGGTTGGATGTGATGTTTTGTTTGTTGTGGCTAAAATAGCCTGTTTTATCTTTTGTGGCTATTTTAACCCCAACCCAACTTGCCAAACACCACCTTAGTAATCTACATCATTTTTTTTACAAAGTGCACTCTTCAGATGCTCACAATAAAAAGGAAGGGTAATTAAAGTATCAAATGAAGGTATGTACTACTTGAAGTTGATGATGATGAGCTCAGTTGATGACAGACCCACTCACTGATCCAACTCAGATACAGCTAGCTGGGTTCTCACACTCCCCACCCCCCACCACCACACCTTGAAACCTCACCATTAAAGCCACTGCTTTCAAAAAATATACCCCCAGATATTCATCTTCCCTCCGCTGTTATCGCTAATCCTCCTCAGCACAAAATCTCTGTAGCTAATGGAAATTCCACAGGAAAACATCCACAAGATCCAAACAGGCATGATCTATCTTGCACTAGATCGAGTAGAGTTCAGAGTTTTGAAAGTGTAACAAAAAAGAAAGATGCGGATTGTTGTTGTAATCCTTAATGTTTTGGGAAGTTGGTAAAAAATTAGTTTTTTTTTTTTATTATTTTTTTTTTTTTATCATTTTTGGTAGTTTTTTTGGTTAAAAAAGTTGGCTTTTTTAAGCTAAAAAAGCCGACTTTTTTTGGGCTAAAAAAGCCGTTTTTTTTGGCTAAAAAAACTAAAAAACCAAAAAACTAACTTTTTTAGCAAGCTGTCAAAATGTAATTTTTTGTTTCTCTGCCATTAATAGGTATGTGTACTTGTTCTTTTGTTATTGTTTATTGTGGGATTGAAACCATGTTCTTACTAAACAATTTCTTTGTCGAAATCTATCATCTCCCTAAAACCTAAAATGTTTAGTTTCAGACACAAAAATACAATACAGGCTATCATATAGACTCAATTCCATGCCAGAGGTTGATGGGGCTAGCTTGAAATATTCAATTCTTGTGTATTATTGGGGTCTATGCAAACTAGGGGTCATTAACAAAATAAGCAACTACTTGTAGCTAAGATTCAACTGTCGCACAAATAAATGAACTGGTATCATTAGATGCATTAATGCAAATTAAATTTTTTTCATGGTTTTGTGTTTTGCTGCATTTGGTGGATGATGCTTAAGCAAACTAATATTCAACTAAAAAAGGAAATATATATATATATATATATATGAAAAACTAAATTAAAACAAGAGAAATAGCTACAATGTCCAAAGGAGCATTAATTTCTTTTAAGCTTTGGTTGGTTGTTTGTGCTAAGAAAATGAGGAGAAAATGAATGGGTATCTCTAAAAAGTCCACCTTTAATTTCCATCTTGGTTAACCCATTGTAAAATGATTAAGCACAAGTAACTCCACTGAATTTTATTTTTTATTATTTTTTTATTTTTTAACTACAAATTTAAGATCTGAATGCGCATTAGAACTAAAAAATTCCAATTATTATTTGCTAATTCAAGAAATTTGAGAGTTAGCTAGGCCATGCATGAATAATGGGGGTTATAATGAATTTCTATATCATGCAAATTTCACATCAAGATCATGATATTCATGTATTGTATGACATAGGATTCTTGTGAATAAACTTTACAACCTTACCAATGACAAGTATCCCTTTTGCAAAAGTTAGACATTCATTCAAATGGCTCAGTTTGATTTCAACAAAGCAAGCTTGTTTAGTAAATTATTTATAAAAATTGTTTTCGAAAAAAAATTCGCCATTAAGGGGAATCATCAAAATGTTGCTAAAAAAAATTGAAAATTATCGTTACAAGAATATAGAAATTATCAAAGGAATGCATGTTTTTGAATTTTTATTTTATTTTGTTTATGAAAATAAGAAAAACAGAAAGTATTGAAAAGGAAAATACAATCAATGGTCATATGATGGTCCCAACTCAATATTATGTGGAATCATTCTCTCCAAGAGAGAGTAAAGGTAACATTACTTGCTACCTCTTACAGAGGGAAGCAGCAAATTCAACCCGTGAAATATTAAAATTACATGTATTTAAAATTTGTTTAAATCTATTTAAATTTATAAATGGATTTAAATGAATTGCATGTTATAAACCCACTTAAAATTGAGTTGAAAATGGATACCCTTCACCGCCCCTCCACCGCCACCACTATCTATTAGAAAAAAAATATATTAATAAACAGGTTGGTAAGATTTTCCTACTGGCTAAACCAAACAAGAAAATGGCCTTCCATTTATTTGTTTTTTGAATTTAAATCTTTAATTTTTTTTTTTTTTTTTTTTTAAAAAACTATGCATTTTTTTTTTTTTTTTTTTGGGGGGGGGGGAAGCAACAAACAAACAAACATAGGCTTGTTTTGAGATTTGCTTATTTTTTGACTTATTTTTTTTGTTTATTTTCGTTTTTAGTGATTTTTTTTTAAAAAATTTTCAAAAAAATTTAAGTTTCTAAATTCAGTTCCACAAGACAAACTAGAAATTTATAATTTTTTAAAAAAATTTCAGAAAAAATTCAAAAAAGACAAAAATAAACAATCTTTTTTGACTTATTTTGGCTTTTTCAAATTAAAAAATAAAAAATAGAAAAAAACTTTTTTAATTTGTCTAGACAAAACAAATCAAAAAAGTAAAAAATTTTGATATAATAATTAAAAAAATCCTAAAAATAAAAAATTCAAAAAAAGATGGGACGTTTTTTGAGTTGCCAAAAGGGGCAGCACATTAAATTGGGTTGGTCCAGTCATAAATTCCTCTTTCCAGTCATGGGTTAACGACCCGTAGATCATTCTAAAAGGGGTTACGCTATTCATCAACTTTCACAATAATACATTCTCCAAGGTTATCATGCCTTGACATGTGACCCAAGTAGTTTCCACTATCTAAAATTAAATGGTGCCAGCTAGGGGGTAGTTTGGGTGATTAATGGGTTACCCACATTAGTTAAAGGAATCTTTTGAGAAGCTTGTAAAAATCAGCTTTCAGTTTTATTACTTATTTTAATTCGTATCACTTCTCACATAATTTATTCACAAAAAGATAAAATAAGTTAAAAAATTAAAAAATTAACTTTTTACTAATTTTTCAAACCACTCCAATGCCGTGTTAAAAGTTGCCCAAGAGTTTGTCAATTAACGGGTTACCCACATATTAGTTAAAGTCGTGTTAATAGTTGCTCAAGAGTTTGTCTATTCAAACTTGACCTAAACTCAATAAATAAAACTCAGGCTAAGCCCAAATTTCTAGCAAATATTAGATTTATTTATTTTTAGTTTTTATTTTTTACAACTAAGCTAGTTATTTTTTTAAAATTGGGTTCTATTAACATTTATTTGAAAAAAATAAAATGTAACGTCAAAATAAATATTTTGCCGAAGTTCTATTTTTTATTTTTTTGGATGGGTTCAGATTTCTTGAGTTAAACCATCTGAGTTACACCTCTATTAAAACCATATTTTTAGAAGTTTAGGCTACGTTTGACATAAAAAGCCTGAGCTAAAATAATCACAAAAAGGTAAAATAAGTTAAAAAGTCAATAAAGATAAAATGTCACATCTAAATTATAATTATTTTATATTTTTTTCTCACAAAAATAAAAAAACTAAAAAATTCATCTCAAACGAGACTTTTTAGTTACAAACAAAAATAATTTAAAAACAACCTATATCCCAAATAAAGACTAATTAACATTGAGAAAGAAAGACTACTTTTCAGTAGACACGTAAGTCGGCCTACTTAATCAGTTGGCCTAGTCGGAGTAATTCGCATTTTCCTTCCAAAAATTGGGGGGAGAATGAAAAGACAGAAAAGATGGAAGGACTAGTTGCAAATCTTCTATACTATACTGCGACGGTGGCTCCATACAATGATACAAGTGTACAGAGAAGAAGGAATCCAAACCAACACAACCTACAAGCCCAAACAAACCCCCATGAAAAATGGTAACAAGAAAACAAACTGAGAGATCATAACAATCTTACCTACAACTCCTGAAAAATCTTAAGTGTGATTACTTGTACCTATGTGATCATCTTAGCATGAGAAACATCAAAGTTATTAATTAATTTATAGAAAAATATCAAAAATGTAAATAATAGCATGATAGACCTACCGTAAAAATAACAAGATCACTGATGGGCTCCATCATGTTGACATAACAGTCTCAATAATTTTTTGTGATTTAATTTTGTATATATAAACTTAATCTAAATAGAAATAATAACAATAGTAAGGAAATTTATATCCTATCTTAGAATATCACAAAACAAATAAATTAGTTTATTGTATATTTTAACGTTTAGAAGGAAAAAGACAATTCAGGATGGTGCTAGAAGAAAGAAAATAGAAAGACTGGCCTAGAAAGTGGCAGAAAAGATGGGTGGGCCATGGTGTTAGTCGAGAAAGTAAGGACGAGCTTCCCTCCAGTCTGTGATCGGATTGGAGGGTACTGTTGGACTCGTGGGAGTTCATTAAGGATTCTATTTCGATAAACCGTTCAATGTGTGAATTCGTCAAGTAATATATGCTTGTAAAAAATCATGTTGATCAGATATTGATAGCTACGTGATCAAATCAGATTTGTATAAAAAAAAATAAACAGTTGACAGAAATCTGACTTGATGAGATAGCTGTCGATATTCGATCAACATAATTTTTTACAGGTATATAATATTTGACGAGTTCTACACATTGAACGGTTCGAATTATCGAAACAAGACCCGTGATGGGTCCCCACAGGAAAGCCCAGCCCAAGAAAGTAAGTAGGGGCAATCTAGATGTGGTTTCACCTAATTGTGGTTGGCTTATAAATTGGAAAGGAAAAGAGAAGAAAAAAAGTGTAGAAAATTTAATCTATAAAGAGAAATAGAGAATTGTATTATTGATTGATATTTATGTTATGGTTACAATGATTCCTATATATAGGAGAGGGTGAGTGTGTAGTAGGTGAGGAGTAGGTGAAGTGGAGGTGGTAGTGGTGTAGTGGGTTTAGTGGAGTAGGTGAGGTGGTAGTGGTGTAGTGGGTTAGGTTTAGTGGAGTAGGTGAGGTGGTAGTGGTATAGTGGGTTAGGTTTAGTGGAATAGGTTTAAGTGGAGTAGGTAAGGTGGTAGTCGTGTAGTGGGTTAGGTTTAGTGGAGTAGGTTTAAGTGGGTGAAGTAGGTGAGGTGAGGTGGATTTTAACAAAAAGTTATACGAAATTTGAAAGAAATATAATTATATTTCTCTATATTTTATATACCTTTTCTCTTTTCCTTTATATATTTCTCCCTAAATTCATGAACTAAATAGAACCTTCACCAATTGTAACACTATCATTATCTTTGATTGGCTGTCCTGTGTGAAACAAACTCAGCCGCCTTCAAGGTTTCAACACTTTATAAAAATTCCACTCCATATAGTCAAGCAACAAAATTCAAGAGAGAGAGAGAGAGAGAGAGAGAATGGAGAGAGAGTGTCATCCTTTGTTAAGGGGAGGGAGGAGAGAAACTAAATACAGTCCTGGGTTCTCTGCAGCAGAGATGGAGACACTGGCTAGTGTATGTGAGACAATCATACCACCCTTACCATTGAATTCCCTACAAGTCACTGAAAAGGAAGGCCATACAAACAAGGCCATTCAATTCTTCCACAAAGCTTCTGGCTCTCAAAATCCAGTCCCTGAAAAGGTAACGATTCTCTCTCTCTCTCTCTCCGGATGATGTAGAACAAGAGTTTCAAATTTTTTATATATTTATTTTAATAATAATAATAATAAAAGTAGAAAAGTTCCTACATCACTTGATCTCCTAGTGAGATTACATAGGTTCTGGCCAACTGAATAGTTGGTTTTCCGTGTCTTTAAACTTCTCTTTTGAATGGAAACAGGTGGCTGAGATTGTAATGAAAAGGGGATTCATAGAAGCTGTGATCTTGCTGAGAGTGGTTTTGACTATTCTATCCACAAGGCTGGGGACATTACTGCTTTGTGGGTCTCATTGTTTTGGTGACAAATGGCCATTCATCAACAAATTCTCACATATCTCCGTGGAGAAGAGAGAGAAAGTCATCCAGAAATGGTTAAAGCATTGGTTTTTAACACCCATCAGACTTGCATTTGTATTTCTCAAGTTCTTATGCCTCTACGTCTTCTTCTCCCAGGTAATATTTTTTCCATTTGTATAATTTTTTTCCTTTCCCATTCCTGTATTTATATAATGGCCCATTTTGTGTAGCTTTGGCAAGCTAAAAGCTAATAATCTAAACGCAAAAACTAAAAACATTACCTACCCAACTTTCTAAAAACCAATTATTTAACTTATTTAAGTCACTTTTGTCTCATAAGTTGTGAGTACAAGTTACACAAATCACTTTGATGTAGAACTCTCAAAACTTGAAAATATATATATATATATAAGAACGTTCCATAAACTATACCAAACAGGGTCATTGAATGGTTTTGGCATGTATTTGCATACATTTTATGCATATCTGGGTTCCTATTGTCCTAAAAAGCTAGTTCATGGTCTGATGGGCCACAATTCAAACAGATGGAACATACCTTAGTCAGTACATGCATATACATATCTTCCATAATAAAAAATTTCAAAACCAGAGTTAAAGCAAATCAGTAAAAAAAAAAAGAAAAAAGAAAAAAGAAAGGGAAATAACCAACAATAGATAATATTCATAGAACCTGAAAATCAAATCTAAAAAGGAAAATGTTAAAGTCAAATCAATTTCTTCTCTAAAATCTACCCATTTGGTCATATTTGTTAACATAATGACAAAAATGGTAGTGCTGTCTAGCTCAAGTATGTATATGCTAAACTAATTAGCACATTATATGCAAATCTGTAGCCATTAATAGCAGTCCAGCTAACGCACCATTAGTGGGACATATGCTAAGGAACAATTATCATAACATGTTGGTCATATTTTTAGTTATTTTGAGAAAAGTTAAACCTAAGGAATATGATGGTTGCGTTTGGTTGTGTTTTGTAAATGTGATTTGAGAGTATGAGTTGTATTTTGAGTTTGTGTGTTGTAGAATTATGATTTGAGTGTAGAAAATTTGTTTGATAAAGAGTTTTGAAAATAGTTTTGGAAAAGAGATTTGATTTGAGTGGGGAATTGTTGATGTGATATTTGATATGTGATACAAAAATTTACAACTCCTAACTAAGCATACAACTCAAAATTATTTTAAAGCACATTAAAAATTAAAAAAATTTCAGAAAATATTTTTCCCAATTATATAAATCAATTCAAAAAAAAAAAATCTGTACAACAGAGGACATCCGGGTGGATGTCCCCAAGGACGTCCGGGTGGTAGTCCCTAGGGACGACCGGGCGGTCTTCCCCTGGCCAAAAAATATACAAGAAACGCGCAGAATAGACAGAGCTTTCGGCAGAGTTTTGGAAAATTAATTCCAAAACTCTTACCAAACATGGAGCTGAAACTAACATGTAGAATCACATTTCAAAAGCACAACCAAACACAGTAGATATTTCTCAAAGTTGGATAGTGGTTGTTATTCATAATTATTGTCATGATCATTGGAAAAGAATAAGGAAAAGACAGTTAAACACAAACGCTTGTATTGTGGCCCTCAGGTTTAGGATGGAAAAGACCCCTAAATTTTATATATCACTATTAAAAAAAATTAACCAGTCTGTCATCTTTTCATAATTATTGTTGTTATCGTTTCAGAGAATTAGAAAAAGATATTATTATGAGAACATAAATTATCTTATATTATGGGCCTAGGGTTTTAAATGGAAAGAGACCCTTAATTCTATATATCACCATTAAAAAAGTTTATCTCTTCCCTACTACTACATGATAATAATGAGACTGATTAATGTCCATTTCAAACAATTATGCATTTGAAAAAGCTTATCTACTAATCTGGACAAAGAAATTTGTTCTTTCTAATATCTTCTTTTTTCCCTTTTCCACAGCTCAAATATGTATATGCTAAACTAATTAGCACATATATGCAAACCTGTAGCCATTAATAGCAATCCAGCTTACGCACCATTAGTGGGACACATGCTAAGGAACAATTATCATAACCTGTTGGTCATGTTTTTATTTATTTTGAGAAAAGTTAAACCTAATGAATATGATATTTCTCAAAGTTGGATAGTGGTTGTTATTCATAATTATTGTCATTGGAAAAGAATAAGGAAAAGATAGTTAAACACAAATGATCTTGTATTGTGGCCCTCGGGTTTTCGATGGAAAAGACCCCTAAATTTTATATATCACTATTAAAAAAAAATAACCAGTCTGTCATCTTTTCATAATTATTGTTGTTATCGTTTCAGAGAATTAGGAAAAGATATTATTATGAGAACATAAATTATCTTTATTGTGGATCTAGGGTTTTAAATGGAAAGAGACCCTTAATTCTATATATCACCATTAAAAAAGTTTATCTCTTCCCTATTACTACACGATAATAATGAGACAGATTAATGTCCATTTCAAACAATCATGGATTTGAAAAAGCTTATGTACTAATCTGGACAAATAATTTTGTTCTTTCTAATATCTTCTTTTTTTCCCTTTTCCACAGAAAAAGTTTGCGTGGGAAAACAAATATATACATTCCAATTTGATTTGGTAGATGATGTGGTAAAATAGTACATATATGAAAATTCAGTCAAATTTTATTAAATTGGAAAATTAAACTCTTGCATAAATTGACATATTTCATATATATTAAGGTTACCAAGTACACGAGGCTTCCGATAAAGTGGGGTCTAGAGAGGGAAAGATGTACGCAACTTTGTTCACATTACCAGATAGGTTGTTTCAGTAGATTTCAGATATGTTAGCATTATCAAAATTTAGACCACCTTTTACAACAGCATTTCTACATAAAAATTGTAATTTTTTCTCTCACAGATGATTTCTTTCTTTCTTCTTTCTTCCTTCTTCTTTCTTTTGCTTTTTTAATACTTCTGAACAATCACAGTTAGCAGGCCTAGAGAAACTTATACTCAGGAAATCTACAATCACAGCTAGCAGAACTAGAGGAACTTACACTGATGAAATCTATAATAAAATGGAACATAATTGAATATGTCATTGGCTCTATTGGCAAAGTTCGGTAGATGCCAGCCAAAAAATATGTTAAACACTAAGCACTAGCTAATACCGAGTGACAAACAAGTCATAATACGACTAAAACTAGAATAACAAAAAAATTTGAGCTAAAATTTAAACATTTGTAATGCCTACAAATTAAACACCCAACTCAAATGAGGTACAACATGAAGACAGTTTTACATGGCATGATCATCAAGTAGCTGATATTGTTTTCACTTCACCCTTTTACTTAAACTCCAATACCAGCTCATACGAAGTAGTTACTCTATAGAGTTTTCCCACCACAAGGCAAGAGTTTCAAATTTTAATCATGGCATTTTTCGCTGTAGGTTGGTGAAAATTCAGATAATCCTACATGGGAAGCCTTGGGGTATCAAGTAGACACTACTGAGAACTTGTCCAAACACCAAAAGGAGAGACCACTTCAAAAAGGACTAGTAGAGACTATATACGAGAATGAGTCAACCCTAGTCCATTCCCTCACTCAGAAAGGCCTCAAAGTCACAGAAGACCCTAAAACTAACCTTTACAAAATCAAATGTGATGTCGTAATAGTTGGCTCCGGTTGTGGTGGAGGTGTCGCCGCTGCTGTTCTCGCAAGTTCTGGTCAGAAAGTCGTCGTTATTGAGAAAGGGAACTACTTTCATAGCAAAGATTATTCTTCAATGGAAGGACCTTCCATGGATCAACTATATGAGAAAGGTGGGATGCTAGCAACCCTTGATGGGAAAATGATGATCCTAGCTGGATCGACGGTGGGTGGTGGTTCTGCTGTGAATTGGTCAGCATCTATCAAAACACCCAAGTTTGTGCTAAAGGAATGGGCAGAGACCCACAAAATCCCACTCTTCTCAAGCCCTCAATATCTTTCTGCCATGGATGTAGTGTGTGAAAGAATCGGTGTTATGGAGAAATGCATACAGGAAGGGTTTCAGAATCAAATCCTCCGTAAAGGATGTGAAAAACTTGGTCTGGATGTCGAGGCAGTGCCACGAAACTCGACAGAGAATCATTACTGTGGTTCTTGCTGTTACGGATGTAGAACAGGAAACAAACAGGGGACTGATTCTACTTGGATGGTTGACGCTGTGGATCATGGTGCAGTGATCATAACAGGATGCAAAGCCGAGAGATTCATACTAGAAAAAAACAAGTCTAGAGGGATAAGAGGAAAAAAATGCTTGGGAGTGATAGCAAACAGTCTAAATAAAAGCATCACAAAGAGACTGCAGATTGAGGCCAAAGTAACAATCTCTGCATGTGGGTCCTTACTGACAGCCCCCCTAATGATCTCCAGTGGGTTAAAAAACCGCCACATTGGCCGCAACCTTCATCTCCACCCTGTTCTAATGGCATGGGGATACTTTCCAGAGTCTAATTCACAGCTCAAGGGGAAAAGCTTCGAGGGCGGAATAATCACCTCAGTACATAAGGTGGTGTCGGAGGAGTTCAATGTAAGAGCCATTATAGAAACTCCTGTATTAGGGCCTGGACAATTTGCTGCATTATGTCCTTGGGAGTCTGGATATGACATAAAGAACAGGATGCTTAAATATGGTAGAACTGCTCATTTATTTTCTATGGTCAGAGACCAAGGCTCTGGGGAGGTTAAGCATGAGGGAAGGATAAGCTATAAGTTTGATGCATTAGACAGGGAGAATATGAAGACAGGGTTGCGGCGAGCATTGAAGATTTTGGTAGCAGCTGGAGCGGTTGAGGTGGGCACGCAACAGAGTGATGGGCAGAGAATCAAATGTAAAGGGATTAGCAAAGAGGATTTGGAGGAGTTTTTAGATACAGTTTCAGCAGCTGGTGGGCCAAAATCGATGGTGGAAAACTGGACAACTTACTCCTCTGCCCATCAAATGGGGAGTTGTAGGATGGGGATCAATGAAAAGGAAGGCGCGGTTGATGAGAATGGGGAGAGTTGGGAAGCACAAGGCCTATTTGTATGTGATGCTAGTGTTCTTCCAAGTGCTGTTGGTGTCAACCCCATGATCACCATCCAATCAACTGCTTATTGCCTCTCAAACAAGCTAGCCGAATCTTTGGCAAAAGAAAATGTTCTCTAAATTAAATATATTCTTCTTACTATTTTTTTTCTCAAAGCCAAAGCCATTTTAACTCACATTATTATTGAATCATAAGGTTAGAAAGTGCATGTCACATTTTCTATATATTATTATATGAATAAAAATAAATGAAATAAAAAAAAAAAAGGTTGAAAAATACTAGCAATGGACAAAAAGTTGATCATCTGCTGTTGAGGAAAATAATTGCATTATAACACAGTTTCATTGTCAATATCCACATGGGATGTGGCTAGGTTGAACTAAGCAAGCAAAGTACCCATAACTTAAGGCTAAAGGAACACAAGAACAGTTATCAATGAAATTACCTACATTTTATATCAAAAATTTTAGAGGAAATGACAGATCAATGGGAATAAAAAAATTATTTACAAAAAAATGATAAACATTATAAATATTAATAATAAAAATTATAAACTTTTCCATCTTTATGTAAATTATTTTTCTCATCCCACTGATCAGTAATTCTCCCAAGATTTTATAATATCTTAAAAAATATTTATTGTTAAAATTATATTTGTCATCCATTTTTTGAAAGGTAAATATTATAAAATCATATAGTAATGAGAATTAGATTAATATCATATCTTTTTGGTAGTATACACATAGTAACCTATAGGACCAACAGAACGAAATAATCAAAGTGAGTTTCGTGGTGGGGCCATCGGCCGAAACTGTGTGTGTATAGTCCAACCCTCCCCTTCTTATTCAGCTTTTCATTTCTAGTTCTGTACTTTCTAAGCATTTAAAAAAATAAATTAATTAGTTAAATTAGAACTCCAAAACCACCAAAACCAGATATATATATTTTGCCACTCTTCAGATTACAAGCCTATAAAACCCTACCACTACAACAAACCTAAACAACAAATCAAACCTAAAACCCCTAAAATTTACAAACACAGCCTAAAACAAACCAAAAACAACAAATCGCGTGTTCTCTTAATGACAATCACCGTCAATCATTTGTTCAGGGCATTACAATATAGCAGTGACACCAAATCCAATACATATATGTATACTCTCATAGTCAATGTGCATGTCTATATATGAAACGAGTGTGTCTAATTGTGTACGTATATTTGACTAATGCATGGGGATAGAGAAATTTCGAAAGACAATTGTATTGAAGAAGAGAAACAGATCGAAAGAGAGAGAGACCTGTTATCTTGTGGATGTCGATGCGGCGGAGCTGGTGGTGCTGAGATTTTCCGGCGGTGGAAAGGGACAGTCTCTCGTTGGAGCTCTGCTCTCTCTCTCTCTCTCAATGGTTTGCCACGGAAATAAGACGAAAACACCCAATTTTGGAAAATGCTGAGGTATTAAATTTTTTACTAAATAAATGATCAAGTGTGGAGCCTATAAAATTGTAGACCTCATACCCTGTGAAATATTTGGTCATTTATTTGGTAGAAAATTTGGTGTCTCTATCATAACCGCCAATTTTATTTGAAATAATCTTCTCAATTTTTATTTCTTTTTAAAAATTACACAAAAAAAAATCCCAAGATTTAACGCCTTTTTCAAATTAAAGTCCAGATTTCAAATTGCAACAATTTGTATTCCACCATTCTACCTGTGTTGCAATCCGATCTCCTGTCTATCTCCATCTTTATTAGTTAACGGAAGACTGATTTGGGCACCAAAATTTCCCTAAACTTCACGATTTAGGGCAAAAGACACCCCTTCATTGTGATTTACAACTCCATGCAACCCACCTAGTAATTCAACCTGCGATTGAAGTCATGCAATCGAAGGAAGATAGCAATTTTATAGTTGATTTTTCAAAAAGTTTTGGCCTTTGAGATAGAGATAAGAAATGGGTTCCTTTTTGGTTGTTTTATACGGTTTTTTCCCTTTCTTTTTTCTCATTGTTGACCTTCTGTTTGTCTTCATTGTTGACCTTCTTTTTCTTTCCATAGTCGTGCAAACTATTTTCTATTCCATCAAAATGAAAGACAAAAATGAGTGAAGGTAATAGTTGGGGTGGGAACAATTGGGGTGAGTTGACTCGTTACAGCTGTGGGTTAAAAGCGAAGATCAGAACTCCGTGAACTCATGCTAATCCTACTAGGAGGTTTTTGCGTTGTCCTAATTATGGAGTAAATGTATACAATTTTTCAGTATTTATAGAAAATTAAGAATAAAGTAATATGTTCAATTTGAAGAAGATAACAACTGTATAGAAGATTTATCAAAAACAATTGCTTATTTGTTTATATTTTATTGCAATTATAGAAAAATAGGGCTTGTGGTTTCTTTTCCTAGTACAATCCACCCACATGTGTTCGTGGTAGACAAGTGTTGCCGAAGTTGGTGGATAAGGTTACAGCACTAGAAGAATGTGTCAAAGAGGTTGCACAATTAGAGGATGTCGTTCAATATTATCGTGCACAACAAAAGTGGCTTGTCATTGCCTTGATTGCTACATTGCTTATTAATGGACTATTTGTACTCCAAAATAGTGTTTAGGCTTGCTATGTAATTAAAAATATGTGTTTTGGCTGGGTATATTACTTCCATAATGTGTTTTGTAATTACAATGCTTTTGTTGAACAATGGCAATGTCAATTTTGTTTGGTTTGAAATGGTGAAATGGTTTGTTATCAATTGCAATTGCAATTGCAATGCTTTTGTTTTGTAATGGGAAAATGCTTAGTGCATTGCTTTTATTTTGTAATGGTTGAATGTAAATAAAATATTAGGTTTGAAATGGTTTGTGAAATGTTTTTGTTTTGTAATTGCAATGCTTTTGTTATCAATTGGTGAAATGGTTTTGTTTTATAATGGTGAAATGATTTTGTAATGGTTTGTCGCTAGTTTTAGCATGTTGTCCCTACATTCATGTACAATGATAATAACCATACAAGCATGGTCAAAATTGATAACCATATAAACATATGAAACCTGGTTTGACATAAGCATAATAACCACAACAAAGCAAGCATAAGAACCTGTTATTTTCATGAATGAACTTAGAACATAATTCAAGCCAACAAAACATTGGGGTTTCAACCATTCAACCATTGGAGGATAATAACCATACAAGGATTGTTCAAGGTTTCATAACCCATATGTACAACATAATTGTTCCAAAAACCAATTTTAATTACAAAAGTGGTAAGTAAGGTAAGATAAACCATGAACATTCCAAAAACCCCATGAATATTACAAAAACCCTATTTTAATTACAAAAGTGTTCAAAACCACTTGTTCACACTACACTGGCTGCCCATTCCTTGCTTGTTGCCAATGTCTGCTGCTGCTGATCTTGTCATCTTCCTTGGTTGCCCATCAGTTGCTTCTTTAACACCACTTACTGCTGCTGGCCTCTTCCTAGATTGACAATCATCAACTTGTGCTTGGCTGCTCCTCTCTTTGCCAAATAATGTAGCTGTCCTAAAGCCCATGAATGTCTGCAAAAGAAGTTTGTAATTAGTAACATGTATTATTTATTACTAACATAATGTTTATTTACTTTCATTTAATGGAATACTTGCACTACTATTGGATTTTCCAGAAGGTCCACTTGTATTTCCTTTCACTGGACCCTTGTAAGTCCTTTGATTGTGACTACAACAACCACATTTAGAGCATTTTAGGGTATACTGCCTCCTCTGTAACTTGTATGGATTCTTAGGTTCATCTAGGTCCCTAACTCTATGTTTGGAAGGCTTACCAGTTAGTCTTTTAATCTTAGAAGGTAGAAGAGGGTCACACCCTGTTTTAGGCCACAGATCTGGCCCATTCATTGGATTAATCAATGCCTCATAAGTTCTCAAAAAAGTTTCATTCTTGAAATATGCATGAACATGATCTTCAACCCTCTCTTTCTGAAAAAATATAGCAGTTACCCCATGGGGATAAGGGATTCCAGTGAGGTTCCATGTGAAGCATGTGCATGTCATATTCTCTAAGTTCACTCATACCCACTCCCTCAATGTCTGACTTCAAACTCAGCACCTTCTGACTATGTAGGTATCCCTACTCTGGACTTCAACTTCCTTTTTTCAACTTTGTATTGTATTTTTCCACAAATGGGCCCTTTGTACTTCAACATGCTGTCTCTACATTCATGTATCCTCACCATCAAAGCCCTCATAATCATTTCCATCATGGTAAGGATGTGTTTGTTCCTAACTTGTATCACCTATGAGTTAAAACATTCAGAGATGTTATTGAATAGCTTATTGGATTTGGTTCTTGGACTAAACCCATGCCTAGACTGTGAGACCCCTAACTTTTGTAAACCTTATTAGGTCCCTAAATTTTGAGTTATTACAATAAAGCCCTTAATTCGTTGATTATTCGTAAATTAAACCCTAGAACCGAAAACGTATCACGGACGAACCCATACAAACCCTAATCGACCCTGGAAGCTTAGAAATCATTTCTAACACTCTAATATTAATTATTTAACTCTCAAATTTTAGATTAATTGCTCTAAACCTTAACTTCCGGTTTTCACAGTTTTCGTTCAGTTATTTACCTTTAAATTCAAAGTAAGATAATACAAACCGAATTATTTTTCCTAACACTAATTTATTAGCTCTACACTTGAAACAGATACTTTAATTGAGTCCAAGCCCTCACATTTTTATTAAATCACAAATTGACCCCAAACAAGTACCATTATATATTTATATAGTGGGTGTTTGGGAAGTGGGTTTTTATGTAGGTTTTTTTAGTTGCAAGATATTATTGGATAAAAAATTTTTGGTGTTTGGAAAGATAGTTGGGTTTTTTTGTGGTTGGATGTGATGTTTGTAAGAGAAGAAGTGAAATGATTATTGGGTTGGATGTGATATTTTGTTTGGATGTGTTTTTTTTTTTTATTTTGCAAAAAGTTTGTCTTTTAGTGAAAAAAATCAAAAAAAAATCCCAAACCCAAGTTCCCAAACACCACCAAACACTTGTATCCTAAAATCTTTTTTTAAAACATTTTATTTTACAAATTCCAACAATTATACACAAAAAAAATATAAAACAAGTCCATCAATTCACCATCACATGGCTAGCCATCACCATTGTAGGTGTAATGAATGTACTATGAGACAATTTTTGATGATTTAAGGAAGAAAATCGTTGACTTGGTACAAACTTTTATATACATGTATATAAGCAACTAGGCTGGTTTGATTAGGAGGAAAACCCTAACTAGATCATATTTAGGAACCTAATTAAGACCTTTAATCCTCCACTATTCCATTGAATTCAAACTAAATCCAAACTATCTAATCCAATTCTAACCAAGGGGCATTTAAGACCTTTTGCACCAAATTCATTATATAAACAACCCCTCTCCTAGCATTTTACATACAAGAACAACACTTATACACACTATATTCAACTGAGAGAGAAGAAATGAAGGAGGGTGAGCTTGGTAGAAGAGAGGAGAAGAAGAAAAAGTTTGCTAACAATTTCAACAACCCTTAAGTAAGCCACAACACAACTCTCTCTTCCATTTTCCTTTTTCAAATACATGTTATTAGAAGTTTAAAATGGTATTTTCAGATGTGTTATAATGGTATTCTTGTGTCAAAAATGAAAAGAGTTGAGCCTTGATTCTACCATTCTTCCATTTCTCTTAATCGGTATAAGACTACATTTTTTTCTATCAATCTCTCAAAATTTTCAAAGGCACACCTTCACCTTAAATTTCTAAGTTTAATACATATTATTTAGCAAGTTTTCATCACAATATAAGTGGAAAATTTCCCCTAGCTGACCTATTTTCTCACCAACTTTCTATTTTCAAGAACTGTGCCAGAAAAATCTATTTTACAGCCACCTTGCGAAAATTATAGAAACGTGTATAAAAATATTCTGGACCTCCATTTTATGTCAAAATCTTTCTTAAGGAGTTATCTTTCAAGGAAAATTGGTTTCATTGAAAACGAGTGAGCGGTTTGTGGGAAAATTTGATTTTCATAACAGTCGACGAATCTGGACAGAGTTGGAGTATTTCTGAAATAACTACAAATCTGGAAAAGCTATTCCATTTCTAAAAAATGTTCTGAAAACTAGATAAAATTCCCTACGAACCATAGGAAGTCCGAGCTCTGGAAAAATCTGAAATAGCCCTTTTGAGTATAATCTTTAGGTAGTACTGAATCTGGAAGTTCTGTTTTCATTAGTGTTTTATGCTCTTGTGTTCATGAATATGCTTATTAATTTATGATCATGTCTCAATATGATATTTCACATGTCATAGGTTTATGTATTTTATTTTAATCTTTCGATGGTGCTCACACTTATGCAGATCTGGAAATTATATTCATGTGCGAATTTATTCCTTTAACTACTTGAATATGCCTAGAGCTACTTGTGTCTATCTTCATATGTGAATTTCATGTGTTGTAACCTTATTTCCTTCTATTTGTACTATTTAGTTGTTCTAACTTGTGCAATAGATGTTGTTTCAAGAGCATGTCCCAACTCTGACTTAAATTATCTAACTTAAACGGGAAACTTAATGGGTGGTAATGGGTTGCAGATTTTTGGACAAGATTACTAAGATATTGATTGGTTGACGGGATGCGTTCCCTATTTGGAAGTTAAAGTCTTGTGCAAGTGGTTTTCGGAACCCTTGAACGGAGTGGTTGTATTCGGACCCTAGGTATTTGGTGTAAGGAGGGATTTGGGCAAGGCCCATTATTACCGTCTCTTTTGAGGCCCTGCAGTTGGCGCTACGCTGTATATAACTGTTGGTAGGCATCCGAGGTTAGTTCTTCAACAAAGCAGCAAAAGAAGGGGCATACCGAATAATCCGGGTCCGATTCTTGTGGTTGGGAAGACGAAGTCTCTTTAGGGGATTTCTAGATTTCTAACATCTAACCTTGCAATCCTTTATTATTGAATGATTATAATGTTTTATTACTTGCTTGTTATAATTATGATGGTGTATTGGATTGGAAAAAAGGGATGGGGTGTGTGTGCGTTTACTGGACATTCAAAGCTTATGGCGTTTCATGCCAGGTATCGAAGAAACGTACGAAGCCAACGAAGAGTCAAATACATTTGAAGACTTAAGTTTTCCTTAGAGAAAGTTTGGAACCATTTCGCTCATTAGTCTAATTGTGCTTTTATTTATTCCTTTTGGATTGTAATAGTAATGGAACTCGTTTTGTAAATTTAAAATTTGAGACGCTGTAATTATTATTTACTTTGTAATCCTATGCCTATTTCTGCATTGCTTATGAGACCTTGCGTCAATGCCTTTTAAGATCTGTCAAAAGGGTGGTGCGCTACCTAAGAAAGCTGGACTTAGAAGTGAGGCTAACTTGACTCTTCTGGCGATCTGGGATTTTACTTGGTTATTGGCCAGAGGACTCATTAGTGCCGTTTCCTAGACTCCTAACCTTAGATAAGCCTTTTATTTAATTGATAATATATTCTCTGAAGCTCGCGATTTTTGGAGCGCATAAGCCTAGACCTTTGGACTGGGTTCACTCTCATCATCCTATTTACTTCTTGTAACTTAGTCATGTGCCACTCCCATTCAACCCTTGTGTATGTTTTTGTTGCCTTCCAAACACAACCCTTCAACTCTTTCCATTTAAACAACTTCTTAAAGTTTGCATACAAATGTCTGAAACAGAATTTGTGATTGGCTTCAGGGCATACCAATCTCAAGCTTGGAACAAGTCCCTGTAACAAAAACAGATACATAGCCAAACAATTAATTGACAACATTATTCTAGGAATGGCATAATGATAAGAGTATTTCAAAACATAAGGAATACATAAAAATATTTACCTTCTTTTGATTAGTCGTACATGTCCATCAATGTTCTTCAATTAGGCCAATATCTTGTAACAAGTTGTGTAAAAACTAAGTCCAGCTCTCCTTACACTCTGCCTCAACTACAGCATAAGCTATTGGATACATTTGATTGCTTCCATTCCATCCAACAACTGCAAATAATTGCCTTTGGCAAGCTCCTTTCAAAAAACAAACATCCAACCCAATTAATGGTCTCACACCAAATAGAAACCCTTTCCTAATTGCACCAAGGCATACATACATTTTCTGAAACCTAGGTTTAACTTCTAATTGAGGCCTCCACACATTTATGTCAACATTAGTACCCTCATTGGTTCTTTTCAACTTAGTTGCATAATTCCATATCCTACTATATTGTTCAACATTAGTTCCCTCAATCTTCTGAATTGCTATTTTTTTGGCTTTATAAGCTTTCATTGCTGACACACTTACAACAAAATCCTCTTTGATAATTTCCTGAAACTCATTCACTTTTAATGTTGGGGTGGTCCTAAATTTCTGGACATACTTCTCTGCTAACCAAAAAGCTGTCATTTGTCTATTCTTGTAAGTTCTACAACATGAGTGTTTAGGTTGATATGTTTTTATCTACAAAGTGTTCTCTCCAGTCATCTTAGATGCATACAGTCTCTATTTACACCCAGCATTACAATTCACTTGAACTTTTTATTTTTCACTCTTAGTAAACTTCACATCATATCCTCCTTTTCTTACATATTCCTTGACAGCATCTTTGAACTCATTTGCAGTACTAAACAACATTCCTAGTTTGAATTCTATGTTCTGTATATCAGCCTTAGCCCTAAATTCAGGGTACTTAGGCCTGTTGTTATTATCCTTATCATCAGAGCCTGTAGGGGTAACCAGTTCTTCCTCAGATGAATCTGCATCGTTCATTTCACACTCATGACCTTCTTTAAGCCCTTTTTCATTGACATCTCTCTCAACATTACTATCAAACATGATGTCATCAAGATCGGGATCATCATCATCATCATCATCATCACTACTATCTGAGAAATCCCTATCTAATGGGTCACCATTGCCATCGCCGTCAGTGTTTGAGTCCTTTTGACAGTGATCATTGTGGTAATTTTCATCATTTTCCACATCTTTCACAGGCACATCAGTAAAGAATAACATAGAATGAGCAATATCTACATTATGTGGCTTATGTGGCTTATGATGCTTAATAAACAGCTCTAAGGTATTTGTATTTTCCAACAAAGAATACATTTCTCTAATATCATCATCATTAGCTAACACTCTTAACCCTAAGACCAAATTTTAGTTGGGAATCCTATAGAAAAAATACTTGTAATAAAAAACACCTAACTCCTTCAACATGTAGTTAATCTCTGGGACAGATAATTTATTAACATTAACTGCATCAAATACATCCACATTACCGCTAACATAACTCCTTTCATCATTCTCAATAAAATAGCCACTGTGGTGTATCAAAACTTTAACAAAAGTTGTCATTACTGCATGCATACATAAACAAAACAATAATGACAATAACTATGGGTCCACTTGTAAAACAAAGCATATTAAAAAAATAGAACCCTCATATAAAGAAACTTGGCCCACAATTCTCCATTTATGGAGACAAAATATGACAGAAAAGCAGACATAGAAGACCCTACAAAAATAATGGAGACCCTAGGACCATAATGTATTCAGTGATACAGAGACATACATATAGTTGGATACAAAAGCAATATCACAAAGCAATAAACAATAAGTGTGCACCGACAATGGAGAGAAAAACAATGTCATAAATGAATAATAAAAAAAGAAGGTCAACAATGGAGACAAAAAGAAGGTCAACAATGGAGAAAAAAAAAGAAGGGAAAAACCCGTATAAAATAACAAAAAATGAACTCATTTCTTACCTCTGTCTCAGAGTCCAAATCTTTTTGGAAAATCAACTATGAAATTGCAATCTTCCTTCAATGCGTGGCTTCAATTGCGGGTTGAATCACCAGGTGGGTTGCATAGAGCTGTAAATCGCAATGAAGGGGTGTCTTTTGCCCTAAATCGTGAAGATTGGGGTAATTTTGGCGCCCAAATCAGTCTTCCGTTAACTAATAGATCTGGAGATGAACGGGAGGATCGGATTGCAACACGGGTGGAATGGTGGGGTACAAATTGTCACAATTTGAAACCTGGGGTTTAATTTGAAAAATGCGCTAAACCTTGGGGTTTTTTGTGTAATTTTTCCTTTCTTTTTTTGTTAGTAAAATATAGAGATTTGTTTAAAATATGAATTATTTTAAAAGTTATAAATATATCTTTATCAAAATTTTATATTTAACAAAATTAATAAAAATAATAAAATTTCTAAGTACTCTCTTATATAGAAAGGCAAACTACACTGATCTTCCCTGAGGTTTACCTTAATTACAAGGACCTCCTCTACAGTTTCAAAAATTACACAGACCTGCCTTACTTTTAAAACTAATATACAGATACCCCCTTCCCGTCAAAAGAGCATTAATGATGTTAACTTGACAGTGAAATTGACCATAATACCTTTCAACCCATTGTCTTTCCCAAAGACCTAACCCACTCTATATCATTAGCATCTTTCTCCCTTTACTACCCATTTCTGCCATTGTCTTCCTCACACTCTCTCCCCAAACCTTTCTAATCAAAAACCCAAAACCCAAACCAATAATAACCCGATAAAACACACACTCTTATTTCGACAATTGATCAAACACACTGTTATTTCGACAATTCAAGGGTTTAAGCAAGGAATCAAGGGTTCAAGACACACACTGCTATTTCAACAATTGATCAAACACAGATAATTCGACACATACACTCTCAATCAGACATAGATAACCCGATCAAACACACACTCTTTTCCCAAATTAGCAGTGCATACATAGATAATTTGAGCTCGTCTCCGAGTGTGGTTTTGATTGAGAGAATGCATCTCACTGTTATTTTGTCGCCTCCGCCGATGATCGAATCCAAGGCTCTCTCTCTTTCTCTCTCTCTCTTTCTCTCACTCACTCTGTGTTTACTTAATCACAATTGTTCCGTGCTTGGCAAGAATATGTCCAACCCAAGTCAAATCAGGTGCAAAGATTCAAGACTATAACAAATCGAGATTGAAGTTCAAGTTGACATGAGATCTGTTCGTAATCCAGTCGAGAACTTCGCCGCCCTCTCGCCTCCTTGAGCCTCACATCTTCTCCTCATTGCATCACCACCATCGTACTCAACCACTACTGCGATCTCTCTATTTCTCTCTCACTCTTTCTGCAACCATTGCAATCGCCATGATCGTCATCGCGATCCGTCATCACTGCAACCCTCACGATTAGATCGCGACCACTGCAACATTAAGCTCCTTAGATCTAGGGTTTTTGGTGGTGGTGGTGGTGGTGGTGGCAGAGATGGAAGAGCTGAGAGAGAGAGAGAGAGAGAGAGAGAGATAGAAGAGTTCGATATGGTGGTGGCGGCATTGGGCGGAGGTTTTGGAAAGGGAGGCGTCGGGGTAGCGGATGACGTCGGGGGGAGAGAGACAGAGCACAGAGAGAGAGAGAGAGAGTAAGTACAGTGATGTATATATATATATATATATATGGGGGATGTAAGGGTAGTATTGGAATTTCAACAATAATTTTGAATGAAATCAGCCAAATCTGTTTGAATTTGGATGGGTAAGTAACAAAAGGGTGTATCTGTATATTAGTTTTAAAAGTAAGGAAGTCTGTGTAATTTTTAAAACTACAGGGGAGGTTCCTGTAATTAAGGTAAACCTCAGGAGAGGTCAGTGTAATTTACCCTATATAAAAATAAAATTACTTAAATTATTAATTAAAATAAATTTTTGATATCTTTAAAAAATATTAATTGCCTTTATAATTTGTTAATAAAAGAAATTATTTATTATGCAATTAAAAACTTAAAAGTGTAATATATAAATTCTAAAAGTATAATATATAAATTCTAAAACTATAAAAGGTAAACAAATATGAAACACCGAATTAGATCTAACTTTAATACAACTGATTCCATTTCTACTTTTGACTCTCTCCTATTTGTACATTAATTATATTTTATTTATTGTTTTGAAAAATTAGTTAAAAATTAATTTTTTTAATTTCTTTTAACTTTTTTTTTTTAATAAAAAAAAAACGTATAAAAAACCGAATTAGATCTAACTTTAATACAACTGATTCCATTTCTACTTTTGACTCTCTCCTATTTGTACATTAATTATATTTTATTTATTGTTTTAAAAAATTGGTTAAAAATTAATTTTTTTAATTTCTTTTAACTTTTTTTTTTTATAAAAAAAAACGTATAAAAAAGTAGAAAAATAATGTGATCTAAGATAAATTAAAAATTGATTCTTAACTTTTAATTATCTTTTCAAAAGAGGTTTATATGCAGGATTCCCTCATTTCATGGTTTATATATCCTCCTCCTTTCATGGTTTATATATCCTCCAAGAGCGCTCATTCTCCATTAATGGCGATAATGCCGCATCTAAGAGCCCGCTCGGATTATGCATTTGCAATTTACCTCTTTATTTATTTTTTGGGATCTTTTAGTAGATGATGATGATGATACATTTGTTGGAAATAGTAGAAAAATTCTGGGTAAAATCAGAATTTTTTTTCAAGTTTAGTCTATTTTTTAGGTGGGCCCCGAGTGTCGATTTACTCGGGTCAAAGTGGTAACGTGTTCTATGCCGCGTTGTGATTCACGTGGTATATTAAAACCATTATCAGGTGAATAAGAAATTGAAGCCAAAGTGAGCTCCATAGAAATGGAGTTTTTAGTGAAAATTCCTTAAGGTTTGATAAATGGCTTGGCCCACATTGATTTGGTGGGAAACTTTGAATGGGTTTATATGGCTTGGAGTTAGAACTTGGGGTAGGCCACGGGGGGCACCCAAGTTTTGTAGAGAGGGAGGTTATGGGCAAAATGGGCTAGACCTATTGGATCCAAAAATCACCACGCGCGCCGCCGCCACCGTCCTTCCGGTTGGGCTGGGCTTGGGCGCTGGTGTGTGGTTGGGTTGGGCTTGTTCGGCCCAATACTAATCTTATCTTTTTGGACAAAAAACATTTGAATTTAATTTTATTTTTGGTAAAATAAAATCCAGAATTCAAATTAAACTGATTTGGATTTTCTATACATCCAAACAGAGCCCTTCCCGTTTTCAAACAGAAATAAACTAGTTTGGAATTAATGCACACCCAAACAGGGCCCTTCTCATTTTTTGCTATCTGTTTGAATTATTAACAGATTCAAATCTGTTTGAATTCAAAACCAACAGGTATCATATCTGTTCAATTTAAAACCAAGAGGCACCTTTACATCTATAAATAGGACCACCCTTATTTAATGTTATTAATTCAGAAATTTCGTATTTCACCTGTGCTTCTTATTCTATTATTCATTTTGTTGCATTTTATTTCTGAAAGAAAGAGTTTAAACACTTAGTGTGTTCGTAAGGCAAACAATTTGCAGTACTGCTATTGTTTGTGGTAGATCATTTCATCCTTGGAGATAGACGTCTAAATTTTGATAGCACCGTGGAGAGGACGAATCTGTCTTAAGGACACAGTGTCAAACACTGGATTTGATCAGAAAATAATTCGAAGAAATTAAATCAAGTAAGTTATTTAATTAATTTTCAGTGTTGTTTTTATTTATTAAAATCAGATTTAAATTTTGTTTTTGTAACAAAATAAAATATGTTATTTATTTATTATTTCGAGTTTGATTTTTGTAATCAAACAAATTCTCTCATTTTCTTTATTTCTTTATATTCTTGTTATTGTTTTATACACAACAGAATTTAATCTATTTAAATACAGGGAAGATTGTCCTACACATTATACATACAAATAGCACAGATCAGGTCCACTATATTAGTTTTACCTGAATAGCCCGGCCTAATATTTTGGGCTTAGCCCAAGGACCACAGTTCAGTCCAACACAGGGCATTGATTGTTAATGAAGGTTTAGTCTATGGCACATCATACTTGACAAAATAAAAATAAAAATAAAAATACCGCAAATAAATTACTAAATTTTTTACACAATACTTAGATGCCACAATCATTTGAATAGATTCTAGAGATAGCCGCTTTGATGCCAAATTATAACGTTTGCCATCTTAAATTATAATAATGTTATCCACTTTGATTTGTCACAATGCCTTGTACTCAAGCCATGAGAGTCTATAGAGGGGTAAGACTTGCTCTCTCTAGGAGCTTATTATTATTAAAATGAAACTGAGCTTGTTCAGTTCAAATTATGTCTTTTTTTGAACTACCACTATTACATACCACCGCAAATGCAAATTGTTGTGTTTGTCCAAAACTTTAACAGATTTTGAAAAAGTCAAACTTGTTGACACGAACTATTGAAAAGATACATTTATACCAGCAAATTCAAGTTAGAAATGCCCCAAATGTACAATTCACAACAACTATCCTTTGCCGCGCGCTGTCTTCATGACAATGGAGCCTTAATAGTTCTTTTTTTCTAATTGAACCTTCGGTGAATGGTGATATCATTAATTTTTCAATTTGTGCCAAATGTTGATCCCTTCGATCTTTAGCATTAGAAAACGTTGCGTGCTTTTCATGTCAGCCTGTCGGGGACAACTATACATGTATATTAGCATGAATGTCATCCATCTGAATCTGTATCGCAGAATGGTAAAGGCACAGCCTTCACAGCCCTGAACTTGCCAACATTGTTCAGATGCTCATTCTCCAACCTGTTTTACAATAGCATGACAAAATTAGAATCTTTATATGTTCATACTTCAACTTGTTTGAGCCATTGAACATTCTACTTGAGTCATTCCAAAGTAGTAACACTGATCATGTTTGGTTGGTGTGAATCTAGAGGGACTTGATTTTATAGGGGGAAAAGGGAATTTAAGTTGTTTCAACACATTTTTTGTTTCATAATGAAGAGTGATTACTTATTTTGAGCAAAGGCAACCACAAACAAGTTTAAAATTAACAAACTAGGGATCAACATTGTCAGTGACCATGCGTGAGACCTAAAGTACCTGTAGAAATTCCAGTGCCCACGTCGGATGACCTCCAATGAAGCCAAGAAAAACTCTAGCAGTCGCGATTCAAGCACCCCAACATTGAATCGCATCACGGTCTCCACCCAAGCAACTCTTAGAACAAAATTCAAGGCCTGCAAGTATGATTTTCTCGGATTAGATAAATACTAAAATTTCAAAATAAAATGAAAAAGAGTACGAGACAGAGAAAGATAGAGAAACAGAACGCACAATGGACACATAGTAGATGCTTTTGTTCTTCAGAATCAGATCATCCCTAAGCCATGGATTAGTCGAATTTGGGTTGAAAAGCCCCCAATCCTTGACAAAATCCCAATACAACTGATAAACTGTGGCCACCAAAGAGGTTATCAAGACGATCACCAGCCATAAGTTTGTTGGCTGCCTGGCATATGTTAGCCTAGCACCGGCTGCCACCATGGCTGAAACATATTTCCCCAAGTTAGCCAACTGGTTTGGGTCACACTCATCGAACCATCGCCTTGCACACTAGGAATTTCACCGAAAAACCACGTGTTAATTGGACTAGAATCAAAATTTCTAGCTTATTTAAACTATTTTTGCATCAAACGAATAACCATATTGTAATGGGATCTGTGAGTTACCTGCATGGCACGCCAGTAGTATGGAGCGAAAGAGATGACATAAGCGAGTTCTCTGTAGAGCTTTCCGGACTTGCAGGTCTCATACCGGTGTGTCTTGAAACTTCCAGCGAGAAAATAACATGCTGTGGACTCCATGTGCCTCAACAATGGAATCTATAAACAACAAACTAGTAAATAATGAGAGAGAGGGAATGAAATTAAAGAACAAGAATGATATGATGGGCTTAAAATGTTTACCTGGCTAGTTAGTTGGTCAGCCATGAAAAAATCTACCATCAAAACCTGCAATTAAAAAAGCATTATTAGGTGATATTCAAAATTTGTTACCTAATGAACTAATAGACAAATACTAGTGAGAAAAAAAGGACAGTACCTTATAAAATGGAGAGCAGACTATGTTGCGAATAATCCGGAGGAAACAATAGCGGGTTGGGCGAAAGAAGATGTTTAATGGGCAGATTAGTACTGCGATGAAAAACTGAAAAATGGGATGATCAAAATCAGCATATAGTTCCAAAAAAAATCTTGAATTACATATAAATATAATAAATTACAAATTAAAACAATAGTGAATATGGTGATATAGCTAACTAACCAAAAGGAGTACTCCGGGAATGGCATCGACTTGGCGAGGTGAAAAGCCTTGGGAGAGCAAAATGAGGTGTATGACCATGGCCGCGACCACAGCGGTCATAATGCATGTACAAATGAGGAAGGCTTCTCTGTACTTGAGAGCTGTGTTGTGATGAAATTCAAATATGAAATTGTAGTTGATCCTTGTGCTCTTCCACATGAACATATTGCACCCATACATGAACAGGTGCAAGCTTAGCAAAGCAAACATGCTGCACATTTACACACACCATGAATTTTAGCATAATGTAAGTGTACATACTGTTTCCAAAATGTGAATTTTGGTGGACTGATGATCATTGAGCCCGAAGGCCCACTGCCCGACTCAACGGATAATTTTATCTGGCCTCAATGAGGCTTGAGTTGGGCTTAGTCCTACGGTTTGAAACTTGGCCCACCTGTCAGTCTGACCCGTTAAACAGTGAGAGGTGGCCCGTTAGCACATCAAATATATGAAAAAATCAGGGGAAAATGAAAAAAAAAAAAAAACCCCCAAAAAAGATAGGTTTTAAATCTCGGCCAATTGGGTTAAACCCACGAGACAGTCTGGTCCAAACTAGCAAAAAAAAAGCCCACTAAACATAGGTCGTGGACCTGGCCCGATGCCGACTCTTAACAAACAAAACATGAAAAGAAATTTAAAAAAAAAAGAAAAAAAAAAAAGAAAAAGTAGAGGAGAGCATGAAAAGAATGTGAGGAAAGGGGGACCTGAAAACAGGGTAGATGGTTTCCATGTAAGAAGCTTCGGAGGTGGCAGAGAACAATCCACACAAATGTGCTAAGATTGCGTATACACTAAATAGCGTTACAAAACAACCTGTGAACAACCCTGCAAAAACCAACAACAAACAAACAAGGACAAAACTTAGAAGAATTTCCATATTCTGCATGTTTTTTCACACTCTGGTTTCAATTTAAAATTTATCAAGACAAGGGAAAAATAAAATTATTGATATATAATTTTTAATTTTTTTTTTATAGGTAACAAAATTAAAACTAATTTTGTAACAAATGGTTGGCTCAGTAGTAGATGATGTGCTATTTTTACTAGAGTAATGCAATTAATGGATTTTTCACCAAATTTTCTCATTACTAGACATAAAGGTAGTGAAGTCCACATTAATAAATATACATGAGATTCATATCTTCTGTCTACCGTGGTGAGAAAATTAAGTAAGAAATTCATTTATGTATAATATTTTTATTTTTGGTATACATATGCATAGCTCAAGAGGGTATGATGCACACCTTTAGCTTTCATGTTGCAAAATCTCTTTCAACTTCCTAGTCTTGGTTCAACCCTTATATATATATATATATATATATAATTTTTCCCCCCTACAAATGTAATTAACATCCTATCATGGCGTAATTGTCATACAACTAATGGGCAGCGAATATAGATAATCAAATCACGACACTAAATGAGTACTAAAGCCATCATCATCACACTTATTAGTGGTTATTTCTAATAAGCAATATAGTGTGAAAAAGTTACACTCAATTCTCAAATGCATGTATTTGTTTAGGAATTTTGGACTACTAGTGGTGGAAGTGATATACACGTATATAACATAATATATAGTATAATATTGCACAATGGAAATTCATCTTGAATACCCACTAGAAAGATACAGTTTTATTAAGACCTTACTGTGATCATAGAGCCAATTAATTAATTATTTATCATTATTATATATCTAACTATTGAAATACATCACTAACAAATGCTAATCTAGAGAGAGAGAGAGAGAGAGAGAGAGAGAGAATTACATACCAGCAAAAAAGGTTACCATGTGGGAACCTTTGAGCTGTTGGGGTCTCAAATACTTCATAGCCTTTTTCCTGTCATCGTTGGCGAAGTGCTTTGTGAATATGGACTCCACTTCGTCCATTAGCCTAACCACCTTCATAATTAAAACAAACTTATTATATTATAGTTAAGTAATAACCCGTAATTCGAAAACTACCAAAAAACAAAAACAACCATTTTAAGTTGTTTAATTTTACCTTTTTCAGACTCTGATGTAACCGAGTCTTGTTGCTTTATCGATTTTAGAAGCTACCGTTCAAATCTTAATGTCTTTGTATTACTAAAATAATAACAATGATAATTAACTAGAATCATATCCCTCTACTAGTTAGAAGAAAAGACTGATCCATCTATTTTGGATTCTATAGGCCCACTATGGAGCCCATTTTAATAATTAGATCCGTTTATTTTTTAGCCTTTCGTGTATAGACAATTCATAAAAAAATAAAATTGATTTAATAATTGTAATTATACAAATTTATTGTATTTGTGTTGTGTATGAGTTTTGACCAATTAAAATAATTTGATTGATTTATTGGATAGTGTTCTAGCATAAGCAAACATCAATTATGGCATATGGAAATTATCATAGTGCGTTGGGTGCCAGAATGTGTGACGTGAAAGGAAGAGGTCATTTAAAAATACCGTTTGGCAAGTGAGAAAATATTGCATGATTTGCAAGAAGTCACTTACTCTTTATGAACATTTGACTTATACACGTAATATCATTTTAGAAAATAATATTTAAATTTTTTTTGTAGACTCATTTTATAAACCCAATGATATATAAGTGATATGATTAGTGAAAATATGAAAGAGAGTGTTTCTTTTAATATTTTCATTGATTGCCATATCACTGAGTTAAAAATTAAGTCTAATTTTTGGTCTTGAATAGTAATACTCTATTATTTTTCTTAATTTTACATAGAAATGATTGATTACCGATTTCTACCTATTCACAAAACTTAATTTAAACAATTTGATCGCATTATTTGGTAAGTTGACGAAACAAGAAAGAAATCCAATTGAAAAAAAGGAAAATGACTGGGGCCTCCAGTGGGGGTGACCCCCACCACCTCCACTGTTTTTTCATTGGCTAAAATTTATATTTATTTTTATTTATTTATTTTTCAGTCTTTCTCTCACAACAGGACATGTGGAGCTGGGGGGTGCTGGGGTCACCCCCACTGGGGGTCCCAGCACGGTTGCTGAAAAAAATTAACCAATCACATGAGTAATGCAGATATTCATTTAATGATTAGCCGTTCAGAAAGATCTACATTAAAATATTTTTAACTCAAATTTTAAAAAATAAAAAAGATTTTAAAATTTAAATTGATGTAATAATTATAGATTGTTAATTTTAAATTTAAAGAAAATTAGAATTTACCTTATCGGAACTAACGAAATGAGAACTCTTCACTACTTTGAGATAAGTTGTTGATGCTTGTTGGTTCGATACCTGTTTCATGAAAGGAAAAAAAGAAAAGAAAAAAGAAAGTGGTTTACTAAATTAATTAGCTTAAGCAATATGCTGCGTTTAGATTAGTATGGAATTATATGTAAGCCTTTACCACAAGAAATTGTATTTTTCGCAATAGTATGAATAAAACTATATGTATCAATTGGTATATCAATTATTATATTAACGGATGATATTGCATAATTTTGTTGGTTTTGAGTCTTTGTAAGTTTTATAATGGGTGAAATCTATAATTTTAAAATTGCATTGTTATAGTATGTGTTGGTAGACTAATGTGTATAGTAATTGATGTATACAACACCATTGTTTGCAACTAAAAGTTGATCAACAATTTAACAATAAGCATTTAAGTTGAAACAAACATAGATAATTATATATATGCCCTATATGTATTCTTGATATTTTAATATCTTTTGGGTTTTTGGAAAAATTAGAGAGGCGATCGTGAACGCACAAAACAATGGTCCAATCAATTTTAGACAAAAAGGGAAGTTGGGTATTAGAGTTTTAAATAAAATATGTTGAGTTTTGATTATGCACGTGGATTTTCCTACATTTTCTTGAAGGATTGAAGCTAAAAATGGCAACTTAAAGTCAATGTATGACCAAAAAATGCCAACTCTGATGAGAATGCCCTTCTTCTTTCACCATAGGAGAAACAATTGATGGCCAAACATCTTGGGATTTCCTTTTGATTTCCTTAAATAAGATGAATGTGGTCTTTAATTTCAGGCATGAAACTTATGCGTATGACATGTGTACCTAATTTACCTTGTCGAATTTCTTTAGAATCTTTGTGAAAGCCAACATATTTAGTGAGCTGTCAACACAAATCATCAAATAATTAAAAACATAGAATGCATGCACACATAAAAAGCAAAAACTAGATGTAGTTCTACCACTTAAATGCCAAATTCTATGTTAGGTAACCATGTGTTGATATGTTTGCATGTATCAAATTTTTTGTTTTAGATAAAAGAAAGTGTAATATTCTATTAATGAAAATAGTGCATTACATACTAAAAAATTCTACATCTATCTCCCTAACTAAATTATTGTCAAAAATCACATTTTTTATATGCTTTTGATGCAATGCTTCATCTCATTGTGGGTTGACTTTTTGTTGTTGTTGTTGTCATCTTTATTAGTTTTCTTCTTTAATTAATTTATTTATTTTTAAAGTTCATTGAAACTAAGGCCTAAGTTTGGAAACTTGTAAAAAAGTCAAAAAGTTAAAAAGTTATTTAAAAAGTTAAAAAGTTAACACTATTCACTAAAAGTCAACAATTACGGCTGCACAACTCCCAATTCGAATTTTTTCCTACAAATCAATTTTTACAATTTTTTATTACACATTTTTTCATAAAAAGTCAAAAAGTTAACCCAAACATCCATATTTTCAACCTCAATTTTTTAGTCTAAAAAGACAAAAAGTACACTTATTTAGGACACCCCAAACAACCCCTAAATGACCTTGAAAAAATATATATATTTTAAAAGAAGTCCACTCAAGACCAAAAAAACAAAATTTAAAAGTTTTTTTCAACCAAAAAAAGTCATCTTTCATTTTTTAGTAGATATATTTTTTTTTACAAAATTATTAATTTTCTTTTATTTTGAAAAAAATAAAAATAAATAACCGGCTTAAGCCCGTGACCAAAAGTCAAAGGGGGAATTACACCGACACTATGTCAGGAAAAAAATAATTACAAAAAAATAAAAAAATATATTATAAATTTTAATAATTAATATTGTAAATTTTTTCACTGTAATATATATATATTTTTTAAAAAAAATTACCCAGAATAATAAATTCTCCAAAGTCAAATGACACATCTGCCCTGCACTAAATCAAATCAAGTACTCCCTATATGGGAAATTATTCAATACTCCCGGAGCATCACGTGTCCATACTCCAAACCAATCACCAATTAGTTAGTTCCATGTTGTCCCTCTATCTCCAACATAAATCGTGGACCCTTGTGTCTCTCCACCAATCAAAATATTATGAAACACCACGTGTCCATACTCCGGGAGTACTGAATAACCACCCCTCCATATATACCCAACTGAATGATTTCCCAAGAGAAAGAGAGTACTAGCCACCAAACCTCATATACCTATTACGTGAAGTGTCATGCAGCTCATGAGTTCAGTACTACTTTATCCTTAATTGTTAAACTAGGGCTAAACAATCATCAATTATATATTTTTTTTATCAAAATATAAAAGAAATTAAATCTGTTGAAAAATTAAAACCTGTATGTGTTTAATAGACCAAGGCCTCTGTAGAGCTCCACAAATGCCCCTCTGATCATCTTTTCGGCGCATTGTATTTTCTTTTTGTTTATGAAATCTCCTGGACCTTCTTTCTTGGGATTGTTCACTAGATCTTCCCAAAGCATGGATGTAACTGCTGATATCGTTCGCGTTGGCGTTGTGGCTGGAATATCTATCCTCATGGACATCTTAGGCTTTCCGTTCTTTGTCTTCGATCTTGTTGCCGAACCAACAAAATTCACACCATTTTTTTCCAGTGCAGCAATTACCTCGTCTGTCTGTGAGGCCGTTTCTGTGGAGCTATCACTATATTCGGTTGGGGTTTCTGCATAATAATTAATTGACTCTAATCAGACATGAAAAATAAAAACCTAATTTTTTAGTATTTTAACAAGAAAATTTATTTTCTCGTATGAAACATGGAAATTGAGCACTCTATTTCTCTCTCGATTTTTAAAATGATAGGACTCAAAACTATTGCATCATTCTGAATAAAATTATATACATATTTTTTTGTTTGTTTATACAACGCCACTCAAATCTTATATATACTTCAATGTTTTTCCATGTTTAGGCATTCCAAAACACTTTATATACTCAAATCATATATATACTTCAATGTTTTTTTGGTTTGTGTTTCTCAAAAAATTTTGAGAAAAATTCTCTACAAATAAGTTTTCAAAAGTAATCAAACCAAACAAATTTTTCTAAATTTTTTTTCTAAAACTTGTTTGGTTTACAAATTTTTCAAACAAATCTCTCTCTCATATACATCAAATCAATCACTTTTCCAAAACTCTCTCTTAAAATAAAATTTCAAAACATCTTTTGAAAAAAAATCAAACCAAACAAATTTTTGTACTTTTTATCTCAAAACATGTTTATCAAATACAAACTAAACAAGACCATAACTTTTCTGATATTTGTGACTTACCACCGAGTCCATTTTCGAACCCATATATGAATTGCATCATAAAAATGACAAAACACGGAGGGCCTGTTTGGTAACGCTTACGTTTTCAGTTTATATTTACAAAAATTTTATAAACTGGTTTTTATTTATTTTTAGAAAAGCATAAACTACAAACGCGTTTGGTTTAGACAAAATGTTTAAAAAAATTTAAAATTATAAAAAAGAGTAAGAAATGGCAAGTGGTGGAGGGTGGTGGGTGGAGACGAGTGGTGGCGGCAGAAGATGGTGGTAGAAAATGATGGCAGGTGGTGGTGGTGGTGGTGGTGGTGGTGGTGGGTGTGTGGGTGGGTGACGGTGGCGGGTGGTAGCGAGTGGATTTTATTAAATGGGTGAAAATAATATAATGGTTGACAGTATTCCAAATTTATTTTTACAACAAAGAAAATGGATTTTATCCTCTCAAATTTCACCATCCCACAACTCTTGAAGGCTTGTGTAGGGGCTCTTGCTCTCATGAACTGCAAAATCCCCCCTGAGGAGCCTTTGCTGCAACAAACATAAACAAGATTTGTTTACTTATAGAATTGCGACTCTGGAATCTGTATACATGTATCGTTAGTACAGAAAAATCAATATGTGACCTAGATTTATTCTAAATGTAGTGAGGACAACACAGAATGTACCCAAGCCACATTTTTGTAATTTTTTTTCTGTGCACATAGTATTACTGGTACTACCTGTATTATGCATAAGTATTTGTGCGCAATTATGGGGCATACTCACCTGGTGGATAGCAGCGAATTTTGAGAAGAGCTCTGGAGGGATGCACCAGTCAAATAAGTTGAGATTCTCCTTAATCCTAGACTCATTAACACTCTTTGGGAGGACACTGTGATCACTTTGAATGCCCCACGTGGTTGGGGGTGGGAGGTGGTGGCGGAAGACGGTGGTGGAAAATGGTGACGGGTGGTGGCTAGTGTTGGGTGGTAAAAAAAAAAAATTGAAAATTCAAAACGTAAACTTATTTTTTGTGTTTTAATTTTTTGGCCAAATTAATAAACTAAGATCATTGATTTATAAATAAAAAATTTACCAAATAAGTTTTTATTTGAATTTTTTAAATTTTTATAAATATAAATAAAAAATTAAAAACGTAAGTATTAGCCAATGGCATTGGAGAAAAAGATAAAAAATCAAAAAAAAAGAAAGAAAAAAGAGGTGCTTCCGTCAGCTTGGTGTGTCAATTTTCCTTGTAGTCACCAACTTATGCCGGACTCAAATCACTCGATTTCAACAACCACCACCAAAAAAACAAAAAAATGGTGGTTTTTTAAAAATAAAAAAATAAAAAAAATCTTGTGTAGGAGAGAATATAATTAATTATGTGATTATTAACCAAAGTGTAAGAGAGTTAGAAGCTTTTTATTTTTTATTTTTAAAAAGAGATGCAATTAAAATAAGGTTTTGATGTCCTTCCATCATTAATTATGTCAAATTTGGTCAAAATTGTAGAGAAATTATGCGATGGTGATTAAATTTAGGTACTAAATTTTAAATATATTGACACAAAAGTTTTAAGTAATAAATTTTTGATACATGTGGCGAACAATTAATTTATCATATTACCCTCAAATTTTAAAAATTAGACCGAAAAAGTTAGACAGATGTTATGAGATGATTGGTTCACTGCCCATCGTGTTCTAGGGGTGAGAGCAACTCACCGGAAAAATCTGAGTTCCGGGCAGACGACGAGTTAGACCGGGAAAGAAAATCGGCACCCAACTTTGACGACAGAGTTTTCCGCCGCCGGTCGCTCAGAATTCGCTTGAGGTCCAGAAGAATTTGCAGCTGCTTATTCAATATCTCCCCTCTTTCAAGAAACTCACTCTCTCTAGTCTTGTAAAATTGGTTCACTTTATTAAGCTCCTCATCCAATCCCTCAAAAAATATCTTAACCTGAAAAAAAAAAAAAAAAAAAAAAAAAAATGGGTCCATCTTTACTACTTCCGGTTATTTAAATTTATATATATTATTAGAACGGGAATTTTAGGCATTATTTCAACTAATTTTCGGATACATACAATCTTATAATCCTGACATATATGAGGTGATTACCGAACATAAATTATGAAAGTAATTTTAAGAAAGAGTGAAGTAGAACTTGAACCATTAGTCAACTAGTTTCAAACTCGTAACTTTTCATATGAAATTATAATTATAATTTCACATTTTGTTATTTGTTTCATTGTTTCAAAACATTCACAATAATAGTTAGATGATGTGAAACTTATGATGTGTTTGGTTAAAGAATTTGATGAGGAATTTGGAAAGGAAAAAGAAAAAGGTGTGTAAAATTAGGTGAAATATAAACATATTTTATTCACATTTCACCTACCTTTTTTATTTCTCTTTCCAAATCCCTCATCAAATCTCTCAACCAAACAGGTACAAGATTTAGTAATTATTTGGGACACAGAAATAGAAAAATTAAAAGACAGAGAATACCAAATACAGACGTGACTCGGTTAAATTTGTTATATATATATATATATATATTGATGTACAAAAGTATTGTTATATAATTAGCACCTCATCTTCCTCAGAGAACAGCTGAACAAGCTCAGTTCCATATTCTTCTTCTACAGCACCATCTTCTCCTCTTGTGATTTTGCTCTTCACCTGCAATTAAAAATAAAAATAAATTAAAAAACCAATATCAATCTATAAATGTTTTTTCCCAACTTTTTAGTGTCTTTTTCAATGATTTCTTTTGTGGGTTGTTGAAATCTATTGCTTTCTGTTACTTATTATCACGATGGTTTCGTGACACTATTTGACACAAAACCGACTCATTGCTTTAACGGTACACGACTGTATTAAAGCCTAAAAATCTCGAAAACTCACCGGAATCTGACAACATTCTGACATTCCCCGGCGGAGTTAAAGTTGCTCAAAAACTGACAAATGTTTCAATTTATTGTAGCGTAAAGTGAAGCCAAGAAAATGAAAAAAAAAAAAGAAAACAAAAATTGAAAAACAGCAAAGTTTAATTAAGAAGATGAAAAGAAATTGGAAATGAGGATGAGATTGTAAGTGGATTCTAAGTAGATTCATATGCAAGACTTTTGCCTGAAAATGACGTCACTTTTCGTTTTGTTGTACAAAAAGACAAAAAACTATAACAAAACATTCACAAAAATCAGTCATACACAATTCCTTTACGAAAAGACTATTTTTGTGGTCGTTTTTTTTTCTAAAAATTTCCGTGACAAAAATGCCACCAAAAATCCAAAAAATGATAAATATCTATAATAAGGGTTACCGAAGTTCCAAATGTTCGAGTTATCTAAAATTTTAGTATCAATATTCATTGATATATCAACCGACATTATTTAATATCCCGATACAGTTATTTAAAACAATGCATATAAGAACCCTTGAGACTTGCATGCATGGTATGTACAAGTATATATGTATATATATAGACCTGGATGATCTCGGGTTTACCACCGGCATTGCGGAAGTGATCGGAGATCTTACTGACAGCGACCCGAATTGGGTCGAAAACTGAGAAGCCGAAATCGGAGTTGTTGGAGTGATGTGGGGTTTGCTTGGGGTTTCTGGAGAGTCTGATCTTCTTGACGTGTTTCTTGAGCTGCCAGTAATTCACGAAAGCGTCCTTCCATTCAGGGATGAGCTGAGCTTCGAGCTCTTTTGAAAACTTCACCATCTGGTTTTCTGGAATACAAAGTGATTAGCACCAGATGGTGTAGTGAACAGAGAGAAGAAGAGCTTAGAGGTGATAGTGTGATCAAGCTGGTATATATATAGAGATTAAGAGATAATAAGTTGAGGTGAGAGAAAATACATGTCATCTTGTGTAAAAATAAAATAATTAATTTAGTTTGAAATTTATTGAGAAAATGTGTTTAAAAAATTTGGGAATTAAAAATGACACGTAAACGAAACTTCCATACAGAACCACGTCCGAATGAAGTGATTTCTTTTTCTTTTTCTTTTTTCAAATAAAATTTTCAGAAATTAGTGATACTGCATCCTTCTAATTTTACGCTTTAAGAAATGGGGGCGATGGAGCATTTCTCTTCGTGAATATTCAGGCATTGTTTGGGAAGTGAGTTTGGAGTTAAAATAGTTATAAAAAATAAAATAGGTTTTTTAGTCTCAATAAGATAAAATATTATATTCAATTCATAATCATTACATTCTTTCTTTCACAAAAAAATAAAAAAAAAGTCAAAAATCTTTCACAAACTAAACTTTTTAACCCTAGGCTAATAACTAAAAAGTCAACCTACTTCCCAAACCAAGCCTCACTTGTTTGGTTATTCCTACTTTTTAGATTTTTTAAATTTTTTAAATTTTTAGTAATTTCTTAATATTGTAAGAATTTTTTTTTTAATTTTTTAAATGCACCAAAACAACTCAGGAATGTCGGACTTGAAGAATCGGCCTCAATACCATTTCTTTGGAGAAATATATAACCAATACTTTTGACATTGAAGAATTATTAAGGGTGTTTTTGGTAACGTTTACGTTTTTAGTTTATATTTACAAAAATTTTATAAATTGATTTTTGTTTATTTTAAAAAAAATATAAACTACAAATACGTTTGGTAATTGATAAAATGTTTAAAAAAATTTAAAAATATAAAAAAGAGTGAGAAATAGCAAGTGGTGGCAAGTGC